AGTTCTTTCCCTATTGCTGTGATAAAATACACTGACAAAGCAGCTTTAAGGGAGACAGGGTTTATTCTGGCTCCCTGTTGAAGGGTGCAGTCCACCATAGTGTGGAAGTGAGAAAGGAGAAGCTTGAAACAGCTGGTCACACCTAGTCCACAGTCAGGAAGTAGAGGGTTTGTACAATCCAAGGTCCTGGTCCCTAGTCCAGAAAATAGTGCCACCACAGTAGAGAAATAATCAAGCTAATCCCACTGGCATGACCAAGAGCTGTTTCTTAAATAATTCTAGATTTCATTGACTTTAAGGTTGGAATTAACCACCATAGTTATTAATGCTCAGTGTTTACAGATTATGGTGTTGGCATAGGCATGGTAGCATGGTCATAGAGGGCTCAGAGGCCCTGAACATGTATATTACATAGGTATATAACAAAATAGATGAAAATTGATTATTCATAATTGCATCCCATGCAAAAAAAAAATCAAAAATCAAAATGGACCCTTGGTCAGGAAACATCTGAAGACACTAAAAATTACAGTGTGAAATGATGTCTTAATACAATTCAGTTAGAAAAATTTGTACATGAATCTATAATATGTTGACTTCAGTACTGGTAGAGTACAGTTGGTGTAGCACATTGATGGGAAGGAAGTTTAGTAATGTCTCCTAAAGTTGAATGTTCCCGTGTTCCAAAAGTCAGTCACTTCCTAGACTAATTCTTACATATGTATAGTTGGAAATTTATTAATGAGTACATAAATCCTAAAACATTATGTGCATATATTATGGTACTATTTTTATTTTAAAATGACTACAAAGTTCTTTAATTTACATAAATGGAATTAAAGCTATATCCAAGGAGGAGAAACGGGGAGTTGAATACGAGACCTAAAGTAAAGGTTATCTTGGTTGGGGAAGCCAGGTTAATGGGTTGAAATGAAATGAGGGCAGGAGGACTAGGTTTCTAGCTTATGTTTTGGGTGGTAAGCCCTTGTTTCTTTATTATGTAATTTACTAAATAAATAGGTGCAGCTTAATGTAATACAAGTGTGATTTTAAAAGTATACAGTTTTATAAATGTGACTATTCGTATGTACCTGTGACACCATTAATTAACACAATTGAGATAATAAACTTACCTGTCACCCCTGAGTTCCCTAAAATACTTTGTATCCCTCCCTCCTGCTTCCTAACATAAGGCAACTGATGTTCTGCATTCTGTCGTTGTAACTTAGTTTGCAAATCATCTCATACTTTTTTGGGTTTTAGCTTTTTAATTTGTTTATTCATTGAGCATTTCATATGTGCATGTAGTGTATTTTGACTATATTCACTCCAGTAATAACTCCCCTTAACTCCTCCCAGAGCCACCTCTCACTCTTTCCTGACTTTGTATCCTCCATTTATTCATGGAATGGGACCTGGACTCTGCCTCCCTCAGAACCCTCCTGCTGTCAAAGGCTCTAAGGAACAGACAGAGGCTCATGAGGCCCTGCCCTCCATGCTGGAAGGTTGACTCTCTTGATCCTGTACGTGTCTGCACAGGCAGGCGTAGCTGCTGCATGTGTCCATGAGTGCAGCCGTCCTGTCCTGTCCTGACCAGAAGAGCTGCTTCATTCTGGTCCTCCGTGATCTCTGGCTCTTAAAGTCTTTCCACCTCCCTTATCCTTGGTCCCCAAGCCTTGCAGGGAGGGATATAATAAAACATGTCCCATTTATTGTTAAGTACTCCATAGACACTTAATCTTTGCTATTTGACCAGTTGTGAGTTTCTCCTTTCACCATGGTGCACTACACAAGAAACTTGCCTGACTTAGTCTAAGAGCTGCATTAATTTGTGGTGATGGGTATTTGACTTTATTAGGCAATTTGACACTGTATGAGTGAGTTAACTCAGACCTATAATGACAGATGTTTTGTGTTCTCTCATATATGAACCCTAGAGTCAGATTTTTTTTATTTTTGTTTAACTTGAAGGCCCTATAGAATCTAGGAAACTTCAGTTTTTACCTGGGTTCTTTCAGCATAAATTTGCATGATTTATCAATTTTGCTTACTTTTATTGATCGCTTATACCTTTTTATTGATCTAGTATTTGGTTGCATAGACATACAAATTTGTTTATGTATAAGTTGGCTGATGAACATTTTTGTTATTACCAGTTTGGAGCTATTACAAAACAGCTAGGAACTATAAATACCTATGGATTGAGGGAGTTGGCCATGTGGTGGGCATATGTTGAAATTTTAGAGAAAAAAAAAATTTCAGGGTGATTACAACAGTTTACAGTCTCACCAGCACTGCATGAGTTTCTTTCACTCAGTATCTTTGCTGTATTTGGTGTGACCATTCTTTAATTTTAATCAGTATAATAATCTTACAGTAAGTAGTTAATTGTAATTTTAATTTGCATATCAGTACTAATGTATGAGGTTGAATTTCTTTTTTCATGTGCATATTTCCATGCTTTTATCCACTTCGGTGAAGGCTTTATGCCTTTGTCTATTTTATGTTGTTCTCTTGTTTGGCTTTTACATTCTTTTATATTATGGTGTGCTGGCTAGTTTTATGTCACCTTGACACATCTAAAGTCATCTAAGAGAAGGGAACCCCAATTGAGAAAAGTGCCTCAAAAAAGATCAGGCTATAGGCAGGCAAGCCTGTAGGGCATTTTCCCATACATTGTAGGTGGGTTACCCCTGAGCTGGTGGTCCTGGGTTCTATAAGAAAGCAGGTGGAGCAAGCCAGTAAGCAGCACCCTTGTGTGGCTTTTGTATCAGCTTCTGCTTCCAGGTTCCCACTTGGTTTGAGTGTCTGCCTTGACTTCCCTCAGTGGACTATGATTGAGTATATGTAAGTCATTTAATAAACCCTTTCCTCCCCAAGTTGCTTAGTTATAATGTTTCATCATAGCAACATTAACCCTAACATACCTGCATACAAATAGTTCATCAAAATTGTAATTTGCAGAGATTTTCATCCAGTTTTCAAACTTGTGGTTATGTTTTCTTAGCCTCATTATGCCAGCTCTGAGATCAAGTCCTGTTTTATATGCACTGTGGTCTGCTGAACAATTTGAATTCCTCCTATAGTTCCTTGAAAATAAAAGTATAATATGTAAAGTTTAAGTGTTCATTTTACTGGTCTTGTTGAAACAGGTTCTCATTCTGTAACCCATGCTGGCCTTGAAATCATGGCTAATCCTACCTTAACCTCCCACATGTTAAGATTACATACACAAATTACCATAATTGGTTGTACTAAGTTCTGTTTACTAATTGTTTCATATTTGCCATTTCTGTTTTCTTGTTTTGTTTTTGTTTTGCTTTGGGTTATTGTTTGCTTGTATATTTGTTTTTCGTTTTGGGTTTTTTACTTGGTTGATTGGTTTCTTTTTTGAGACACTTGTAGTCCAAGCTAGCTTCCCATTCACTGTGTAGTTACAGGTGACTTTGAACTGACCCTTTGGCTACTTCCCAAATGCTGGGATTATAGTGCACACCACTTCATCTGGGAGTTCTGGACTTTTCTTAATTGACTTTTCTCCCTGTTCCAGTTATCTCTTCCTACTTTGTATTTCTGCTCACATTGCTTTGTTGCTAAATTTAAACTTTTGAGGTTTTTTTTTTTTGAGAATTTAATATATGAAAACTGTATTTTACTTTATGTTTACCCTTCTTTGTTCCACAACCTCTTGTGTCCTCTTCACACTCTTAAATACATGACAAGCCTATTTGGTGTGATTTTATGCACATATGTTTAGAGCTGACCATTTGGGATCCCATAACACATCAGGGGCTCTTGTCTTTGGAGATGACTGGATGTCTCCCTCAAAGCCTGTAGCTTTTTGTATAGAGGTGGAACCTTGAAATTTTTCCTCGTCATTGGCATGTGGACTGGTATATTTTATTCTGTAAGTTTTTTTTTTAGGCAACTCATCATTGCCACAGAATGCTCCTAATTTTTTGCTATAATTAAAAGTTCAATAATTACTAGTATTATTGTCTGAGTAATATAACTGCTGAGTCCATTCTCAGAAGTGGATCTACTAGGTCAGAGGGTTTTGTATTTGTAATCTTGGTAATCATTTCCAAAAACTTGTTCTTCCACAAGCCTGTTAGGAAAATCCCTATTAGCCCATAGTCTTATCTGAAGATATCTTTCAAATATTTTAATTTCTGCTAGTTAATAGGAAGATGGTGTTATCTTAATAGAGTTTTAATTTTTCTTTGTACTCTTCATAGTTTGAGCACCTATGCTTCAAAGCTATTTTTACTTCCCTTTCTCTACTGTCTTATTTTAAATTATTGATCATTCAGTTTCCCTTTGATGGTGAGAGTACAAAACTGAAGTGTTTCGTTAAGTGTTGTTTAGTAACTTAATGATCAGTTAGCATTCACAAATGTACTTTTAGCCCAGTTCATAAAATGCAGTAAGTCAACTCTTGAATGATTTTAAAGATTTTATAAAACTCGTAGATCAAAGGCTAGAATAATTGATTTTTTCAGACAAATTTTACCAAAGTAAAACCAGATTAATATGAGTTTTGGAGCTTGAGGGTAATGTTCCAAAAGCAGTTTAATAATCCTTTTGGTAATCCTTTTACATTTGAGTTAGATGTTGGCATCTCTGAACAGGGGAAATAAATGTTTAAAATTTAGAAAACACTTGTAATTTTACAAAGTCCTACAACCAAGAATGATTAACACCCTCACTTAGGTGACATGAGGTTTTTCATTCGTGGGCATTTCTCCAGAAGTAAGAAATATACTACTGTTTATAACATCTCATACAGTCCCTTTTCTCCCTTTGGTCAAATGCATGTGACTTCTTGCTTGTGTCATTTTACTTCTTTATAGGTATTAGAACCTGTGGACAATTAACTAGGGAGGAAGTGGCTTTACCAAGTGAATGAAGTAATAAAATGAGCCAGTAGCTTACTTATATTTTGTTGTTATAATTTAAAAGTCTGGCTTTATTTATGCAATTGAAAAATATATTTTTAGAGTTACACCAATATGGAGAGGCATCCAGCCCACATCCGTCAGGTATGATATCATGTGAGAACGTTCTCTGGTATTCCTGTTGTTCTGTCTTAGCAGTCAACTAAATTTACCTTGATTAAACTTTATCATGTTGAGTTGTTCATTGCCCGTGCCTTGAGCTGCATGCCAAACTCATTAGCCACCTGTCACAGTTTAGCAGTCTTAATATTGTTTGCATGCTTGCTTCTTAGATATTTCTAAAATTATATGTCAGGAAAAAATGACTTCCCAGTTTGTTTAAATATTGATTTTCAGGCTTTGCAAGGTTGTTACAGATGGTCTAGAGCTTTCTATCAAGATCACATGTACCCAAAAGTTTAAAAAATAACCTCCTATGCACCTTTCACATGGGTGGTTTTCTAAGCATTACTAATAATACAATGTATGTATTTATACTATTTGAATATTTTATTTGTTTTTAGTTGTAGAAGTATGATACACATAGAAAAGTAACAATGTTGGTTTGACTAACTGCATTTTTGCTTATTAGTGTTATTCTGCTGATTAATGCTAAGGCTTTTCTCTAGAAGATAGTTTGGGTTTTTATAAATATGTATGATGCATGTCTATTTTTAAACAATTGATCTAAATATTTAAAATGATTAATAGAATTCAAATTAAATAAGCAGTATGTTGCAAGCACTGAAAATCTTAAGTAACAGTGTGACTGGCATACTTTTATTAATGAAACAAACTTAAGAGAAATGTGTATGTTTGAATTTAAATTGGAAAATAGTTTTAAGACTTTTTTAGTATTTTGTCTCTTAAGTAATTTAATGCTAATTTAAATTTAAACATATAAATCATGATAAGTTGATTTCAAGAAAATGTTTTCCTCCTTAGTTTTGGCCAGTGTAACTGATTAAAAATGCACTACTAGAAGTAAAGTTGAGTTTTTAATTTTTTAAGGTTACCAAATATATTTCAGGTCTCACTTCAAGATGACTTTTGTTATTTAATTTATACTTCAAAGTGTCTGTACAATCTGTCCTGATAGGTTGGAAATATGCGCCTTAAACTAACTGCACCCATTACTTCAGGATTTTAACTGCAAAATGACATTTACTTAAATTAAAAATTATGCAGTGATTGTTGGGAATCAAGTGAAAAGATTGGAGAGGAAGGAATGGAGAGGAAGGAATGGTTGTGACACTTGCTGATAGAAGAGTAGGTTTTGAAGAGTGGTAGCACACTCGCCTATTCACATGCAAACCCTAAGTCCTGACATCATGAGGAAGAAACAGGAGTTTTAAAAATGTACAAAATTTAAGTTAGCATTCATGTTTAATTTTCTGTAATGGCAAATCATTATATTCTAATAGCTTGTATTTATTGGGGAGAATAAGTTTTTTATCTGTTACAATTAAATCACAGTGGTTTGGTTCCAACATCCAGTACTTAATGTTACACATATAGGCTTTTTCACTGTGCTGTGTTTTAGGTATTTGTCAAATGTCATTTTGATTATAATCCATTCAATGATAACCTGATACCCTGCAAAGAAGCGGGACTGAAGTTTTCCAAAGGAGAAATTCTTCAGATTGTGAACAGAGAAGACCCAAACTGGTGGCAGGTTAGTTTGATTCTCAAAAACCCCTCAACTGTTTTTTTGTTTTGTTTTGTGTTTTCAATCTTTGATCTGGCTAGTATCTAAAAGTTCAGGAAGTATTTGTTCCCATGATTGTTCCTGCATGAACAGCTTCTGCTTTACATCTGTTAGCTTTGCGGGCAGAAGACCAAATCGAGAGAGAATTTGTGAGTAGCTGTTAGTGAAAGCAGATGTAACCTGCCTGTGGCACTGTCTGTCACCTGGCCTAAGGGCCAGGTTAAGCAGCTCTCTCACATGGGCAGTCACCTTCAGATATGCTATAGGACAAGAAGAACCGAATCCACCTGGAGTCATTGTTTGTCAGTTCTTTTAATTTTGTTTTTTTTTTTTTTTTTTTTTTGGTTTTTTTTTTTGCAATTGTTTATGTCAGCTAACAAATACAGTATTCAAAATTGAAGAAAATGACAAATAGAAACCTAGAATCTTTTCAACTGATTATGGCCTCATTGGAGAACAGGGACTGGGACCCAGTACCAATTCTAAAAAACAACAGTTGCTGGTAATGAGTGTTAACTGTGATGAATTAAATGGCTTATGCTTAGAGACCATCTACAGGGTAAGAACAGTCTCAGTGCAGTGTAGCCTACATGTAGATGAAGACATTTTTAACAATAAGTGCTCCATGGTGAAATCACTAAGAAATGGTTTCAGTACACACAGTACATGATTTCAAGAGGTCTTCACTGAAATACTTAGAAGCTTTAACACTGTACTTCCTACGGCTGTTGTTTCATGCCCCACCCCCACCTCCAAGTTTCCCTGTTTTATTTCCTGCAAATGCCATCTCTTAGTTTGAGTCTCTTTATGTATTTTGATAGGCTTAATTTTAATTTCAGTTTTTAGGATTACTAAACTAAAACTAAAAACTGATAATAGATTTTCTGTTCCAGTTATAAGGAGGACACTAACATTGTGATATGAGTTCCTAGCAGCCATGTGGGCTGCTCACAACCTCCTGGAACTCCAGCTTCAAGAGCTATGTACCTACCCATGTACTCATGCAAACATGCACACAGACAAAAGTACACACATAAAATACTTTATTTTATATACTTTGATTTTAAGGTTTTCATTTTTGTACTAGATGAAGTTTTACCTATTTTAAACTTTCTGCTTTGGGATATACAGATTCTTACTAGGATGAATTAAAATTTATGCTCTGTATAACAATATCCTAGGACTAAATTCAGTAGTAAAGGATACTGGATGAGATGCTTCAGGAACATTTCTTTGTATAAAATAGCATTCTTCTTTCCTTTCTTTGACTCTCCCTCTCCTCTCTCTCTTCCCCTCTCTTCTCTCCTCCCTCTCTCCCTCTCTCTCTCTCCATATTATTGTTAATGGGAGTTTCAAAACATCACTACTGGTTAACATACATAGGAGTCTTAGTTACTAGTTGGTTCCTTAGTATGGCAGTATTTAAATACTTTAACATAGTTCTATAGATTGAAAGGTTGTTTTTCATAGCAAACTAACTTTAACTGACCAGCACTTGTCCTACTTACTAAAATATTGTCTAAAATTTTGGTCACTGAGATATTAATTTGATTCTAGGCTAGCCATGTGAAAGAGGGAGGAAGTGCTGGTCTGATCCCAAGCCAGTTCCTGGAAGAGAAGAGAAAGGCATTTGTTCGCAGAGACTGGGACAATTCAGGTGAAGAGCTGAACACAAGTAACAGTCAGGGGCTGGGCACACCTTTCTTTGCCTCCTTTTCTGGATACACAAATCAACTTATTTCAACTGCATAGAAAATTAATCTTTCCTATGCATCAGCATTTTCCTCTCTAAAGTAATTTTTGATGCTTTTCTGCCACCTACTGGTAGAGTATCAAAATTCATTGACAAATTTACTCCTTCCCTCAAGAGGTAATTCTCCTGCTTCCTCATAAAACTTGACTGGGCAATTTAAAGTCATATGTTGATGTATCTTCTCAGTTATATTGGTCTTGTCATCCTTCAGGACCCTTTTGTGGAACTATAAGCAACAAAAAAAAGAAGAAGATGATGTACCTCACAACCAGGAATGCAGGTGTGTTTAAAATCCCTTTGAAAGATCAGAATAAATAGCATTGACATTAGTTAACATTTTAATCTCTGAATATGTAATCTGAAATTAATTAAATTTATATCAGTGTCAATTACTGGGCCTGACGTGAATACAGATAAAATATAAAGAAATTATTTAAGTCCCAACTTTCATATAATTTACAGAAAGATAAGGTTACTAGAATTTATGCTTGTATTAATGCAGAGGGAATGTTATTGTCGATATTTATTCAGGGCATTTTGGTGTAGTAATGTGTGTGATATTTCTAAGGGGTAGAAGGACTTTGTGAAGATATTAGATTTAAGATTAGGAGAACTATATGCAGCCATAACATTTTCAAGTACATTTTGCAAAAATGGCACTGGGCCAAATAATGCATCTTACTTTAGTGGGAGTCGTCTAATAATCTTTCTCAAACCTGCTAGGTTTTGATTTGTTGTTGTTTTTCAAGACAGGATTTTTCTCTGTAGCTTTGGAGCCTGTCCTGGAACTCGCTCTGTAGACCAGGCTAATTTTGAACTCACAGAAATCTGCCTGCCTCTACCTCCTGAGAGTTAGATTAAAGGCGTGCACCATCACTTCCCAGCTGGTTTTGAATTTTTTTGAGAGGAGATCTTTCTATATGTTTAGGCTGGCCTAGAATTCACTAGTTAGTATAGGCTAGCCTCAAAAAATTATCCTATAATTTTATTAGGTTTATTAGGTCAGGCTGACCTCAAACTGTAAATCCTTCTGCCTTTCCCTAAATCTTTCATCTTAAAGAAAGGAATACTTTTTAAAGGAAGCAAAATTGTAGTCATGAGTAGTAGATACATTTGTTAGCTTCATAATAAGATCATTTTACAGTTAAACATCAAATCATCAAGATGTATACATTAAGAATATAGAATTCTTATTTGTCATTTATGCCTCAAAAGCTGAAAAACCCTTTTAAAAACCCCTCAAATCAAAGTTCTGGGGGTATAGCCATTCCCTGGTATTTACAAGGTGCTGGGTTCAATCCCCAGAGCTAGAAAGGAAAACAAAATTAAAAAACCCACAGACCAATTGGGTACATTACAGATTTAAACCAAAAAACTTCAACCTCATTTACCAAGAGAGAAATACAATTTAAAGCTACATTGAGATTCTTTCTCACCCCATACAGAATGGCATTCATTGAAGAAAATAATATTCTGGCAGGGATATAGCCAAAAAGGAGTGGTTCTGTACTAATAGGAATTAAACTAGTCCAGCCATTGTAGATATCAGTATAAAGTAGAATAGAATTACCTTCATTACGTAGGTATTTCCACTCCTGGGTATTTACCTGAGGGACTCAGGTCAACACCACAGAAATACCCTACGTCATTTTTACTGTACCATAGTTCACAAGAGCCAAGTTATGGATCTAGGCTAAGTGACCATCAACAGAAATAAAATGTGGTGCATACACACTACAGAATGAAGTTTCTTTTATAGGAAAGTAAATAACAGCTGAAGATAATCATGCTTCAAAATTAAGTTGGTCTTAGAAACACAAACATCATGTTTGTTCTCCTACTCGTTGACCCTAGATTTTATATAGACATAAAAATCATGTGTGTGCAGTTGACATTAAAGGAGAAGGGAAACTATCTAGGGAAACCGAAAGAATAAGGTAAGGGATGAGAAAAGGAAAGGCAGCAGAGTACAGGAAAATGTGCTCAAAGCGCATTGTGTCTATATGAAAATGGCCTGATGTGATCCAATGTAATTAAAAAAACTAAGAAGGAAGCTAAATATGGAAGCATCATATTTATTTTTCTTGACTTCAAAGTTACCCATACACTAGTAATAAAGTACATATAAAGAAAATCATACAGGAGGGAGGAATGGTGTTTTTCTCTATAGTATTGGTTTAATTTACTATGAAGAAATTGTATGAAGGGTGAGTTGTCCAAATGCTAATGATGAAGTGTTATTACTGCAGATAAAATGAAGCAGTGATAAAGGGTGACCCAATATTTCTGAATCACTTCAGTTTTATTACTCATTAACTATATAACACTTAATTTTTAAGCAAAGTCTGTAACTTTTTCATTGATTTTGTTTACAATTTGAGGCAGTAGTTCACTGAAAATGCTTCTTCATGCAGCATTTTATTTTATGTACAAATTTTAGAATCTTGATATTTAAATGCGAGTGTGCTGTCATTGGAGGTGACAGTCTGTGCAAGTGAAGCAGCCAAGCAGGTGTCTTCTGTCCACTTTGCACACACCTTGTAATGTAAATTGTATAAACTGTAGTTTGAATAATGTTTAGATAACCATTTCTACTAACAAATGCTGATGAGGAGCCTTTAGTGTAAAGAATTTTGAGAAATACACATAAAACTCAAGGATTTTCTAGCACAGTAAATGAGTATCTGAGGGCAAATGAATGGGGACAGACATTTAAATCAAGACATAAAATAATTCCTGTACCTTTCCAAATTTGTAAAAAACAAAGCCTGTGTCAATGTGCACAAATCAATTGATAGTTAACTATCAAGATAAGAAGACTATTAGCATACAGAATACCAGGGAATGTTTCTGTGTATGTAAAGTATAACTGGATAAAATGTTGTCCCATTACTTTCACATTTAGAGTTTGATCGTCATGAAATTCAGATCTATGAGGAAGTAGCAAAAATGCCACCCTTCCAGCGAAAAACATTAGTGTTGATAGGAGCTCAAGGTGTGGGCAGAAGAAGCTTGAAAAACAGGTTCATAGTGCTGAATCCTGCCAGATTTGGAACAACAGTACCATGTAAGTCTTGTGTTTCCATTTGTTGGGTATATGGAGAAAAGGATTATTATTAACTAACATTAATTCCATATAAATGTGGCTAAGCCAATGCACATGGAAGAGTAGACTGTGCTGTGAATCCAGATGGCCCTGCTGCTGTCTTAGGTAATATGCCTGCTGCTGCTCAGCCTGCTGCTGCTCAGTGGTAGTTACTTCTGTAAATTCTTCATTCCAGAAGCTAAAGGCAAATGCATGCATTTTAGAGTTGTGGCAAATCACATGTATTTGGATTTTCTTGTGTAACTGTTATCCATCTATTTGTATTTTTCACCCTATACTATACTGTATGTTTAAAAGCAGAAAGCTCAAATACTAAGTATGGCAGTTGGTGAATTTAGATAGTCTAGTTTAAATTGAAGCCCTTGGCCCTGCAGAATCATAATAAGCCTCAAGTCCTCTACAGGAGAATGATATTCACTAATCATACTGAGACTGTGCTGATGAGATCATTCAGGATCAGACTGACTTTGTAATTTTCTCTCCCCCCAATCTATGTTTACATAGAAAATTCAGTGATGTCAGAAATGGAGTAGGTGGAGAGTTCAGATAATCACTGATGTATAATAATGCTTGCTGACTGTTTGACAAGAAGCATGAGCAAATAGTCTGATAGGAACAACTTCATGGAAAAGAAGGATTTATGGTAGCCCACGGTTTTCCAAAATTTTCCTTGGCTCTTTTGATGTTGGACTAATGGTAGGGTAGATACTGCTTTATTGCATTTTGTAATTTTGTTGTACCCTAAGTTTTTGTTTTAATTATTCTCAGTTTTTAATTCTAGAAACATATAATGAAACCATTTTTCTCTTCATATTGATGCTAGAGACTTAAAACATAATCTGATAATAAGATAGTTATGTAATACAAATCAGTTAGATCTAAATTGGCTTCTTACCACATCTGCCTGCTTGCAACCTTCTTCCTTCCTAATCATACATGAAAATAGTCACTGGAGTGAACTGGAAACTCATCTTTTTGGTTAAAGTGAAAGGAAAAATAACAACCCACTAGTTTTGGGTGCCTTCTCTCTGACACTCTTGTTCATGTTTGTTGAGAAGTCTGTGCATGTAAAGTACCATCGGTTTCTTTACTTCTTGAAGCTTCCCACAGTGCTGACAGAATCCTCCACAGCTATGCTGGCTGAACCATCCTTTTTGAAAGCAAAGACAAAAAAATGTGCTGACCAACCACCAGCACCAGGAGGACTCCCGCCGGCTCCTCTAAAGCAGTACCATTTTCATCTCAAAGTATTTTTTAATCTTACTTGTGATTTCTTATTTGACCTATTTTGAAATATATTGTTTAATTTCACACATTTTTTTATGTTCCCAGATTTTCCTGTTAGTGATGATAATGCCATATACTGTGTCCAGAGAAAATGTGTGATTTTATTCCAGTTAAACTCATTGGGAATTGTTTCATGACTTCAGATCTAATTTGTCTAGGAAAATGCTCCTTGTTCTTGTACTTTTGGGAAAATGCATTTTCCTGTTGTTGACTCGAGTACTACATAGACACATTCTGCTAGCTGGTCTGTAACATTGTTCAAGTCTCCATTTCCTTTATGACCTTATGTTTGTTCTTCATCACTGCAGGCCTTGAGGTCTCATGCTCTTTTGTTGACTTGTCTGTTTCTCTCTTCAGTTCTGTTTTGCTTCATGTATTTGGAGATTCTACTATAGTTAGGTACTTCTATGTTTACAGACATCTAACTTCTGGATGAATTGACCCTTCTGTCTTTGTAAATATTTTTCATTGTCTCTTGCTTTTGTCTCATTGTATGTTTTATCTTATGTGTGTACCTGTCTCAGGATATTGCTTGCATCTATATCTTTTCCATCCTTTACTGGGAACTTACTCGTGTTTTTAGAGTTTTATCCATTTAATGTAGTTACCAATACTGTAATTGTTCCTTAGTGTGAATTTACCTGATTGTTTCCTCCTAATTTTATATATACAATAGGAGAGTTGTATCTTGTCTTTGTGCCCATTATTGATGCTAATGTTGGTCATTGATTTAATTACTGTGGGGTTTGGTAGATTTTTTCCACTACAAATCTGTAGTTTACAGCTAAACAGCCTGTTCAGAGATACTTTCAAACAGAGCAGCTCTTTTCCTCAAACTTTCACGCAGTGATTTAAGCTTCTGTTAGTAATAGAACAATATAAAAGCTTTGCCTAAGTTTGGAGGGACATCTATCTGCTCTCAGCCTGTTTAAATACACAGATAAACTTTATTTCCTATTGTTATGACCCATGCTATTTCTGTCAGCTAATAAAAACTGCTTTGTTGGATGATTGAGCTCAGAAAGGAAAGAACTAGTGTTTTATCTGGCCTCTGATGATCTGTGTTCCTTTGCCCTTCTTTACCTTCAGGCCTCTAGAAGAATCGATAACTTTCTGGCTACTTTCAACTTCATAATTATGTCATCTTGTTAAACAAATCTCATTTTTAGGCATTAAAAATAAAAACGGCTAGTTGGCTAGTTGCCATTAAAACCGAAGCCATGATTCCAGTTCACAGTAGCTGTATTGGGAAGGATGGAGTATGGGTTATTTTATTGCTTGGTTTATGTAGTCCTCTGCTACTTCAGTTTCTTGTGAGCTATGCTGTAAGGAAGGAGTGTTAAAAAGGAAAGAGAAAGAATAGTGTTGCACAAGATTTTGCTTGCTGGAGTTGTCATGAATTCCCAAATAGTGTATATTTTTACAGTCCATTGGAGATTTCCTTACTATAAATTTTCCAGTATTAGAATTTCCAATTATTCCCTTGGAACCTTACCCCAAGCTCTTATACCATAGCTTCTGCAATTATTTCTGTACTGGTTCCAGGATAACCACGCCCTACTTCATTTCCCCCAAAGAACTAAAATCCAGGAATATGTCAAGTTCCATAGAAATTTGCATATACCCCATGCAAAACTTTCTGCAGATGCTTAATTCATTTGAATTATTTATGATGCCTATATATAATGTTAAGTGGTTTATAAATAGTTGTTAAGCTGTATTGCTTAAGGAACAGTGACAAGACAAAAATCTGTCCATAGTCAGTACAGATATTTTTTTGTTTGTTTGGTCTGAATTTTCCCATCCATGGTTAGCTGACTATACACAGGTATAGAGCTAACAGATGCAGAGGGTTAGTTAGTGTGTTTTTTCTTATTGTCTTTCTGTGGGAAGAGCCTTCAAGATAGCTCAGAAAAGTGGGCTATCTTTTGGACATGCATATATATGCATGCATTAACCTAGGAAAGTCATTTTTGTTTTACCAGCAGTGGGAGTGCAAACCTCCCCACTGCTATGGCATGTCAACATAGGCCTTGAGCATTCTTCAGGAGAAATAATTTTACTATGTAGGGAAAGAAAAAAAGACAATGCATTTCTCCCTAAACCTATGACTCAAAATTCATTGACTCCTTTTTCGATGTAGTGTTTAGATAGATGGACTATGTTTCTAACAGAATGACTATGTTTTGGTAAACTGCAGAAGATAGAGGACATCCTTAAAATGCTAGTATCTATCTAGGGCTCAAGTGAAGTTTGAGACTGAAGTTAAATTTCTATTCAGCATTCTGTTTACATTCTTAGGGAAAGCATTCAAAAGTATCTAATACTGATTTTGTGCTTATAGAATCACAGTTGCCTCGTTCAAGTCAATTCTGCAGACTATTCCCCACTTAGTATTACTAGTCTTTTCTTCAAGCAACTCTGACACATTATTCATGCTTTGTTCTTAACTTGTCTGGATTCCTGGAGTACCCACTCTTCGGTATTTTCACATGTTTGATGTGTACTTTTATTCAAGGAAAACTGACGGTTCAACTTAATGTAGCTTCTCCAGTTACCTAGTAGTTGTGGGACAGCACCTAAAAACTTATTATTTGTTTAGTCACCTTTCCTCCGTGTGTGTGTGTGTGTGTGTGTGTGAGAGAGAGAGAGAGAGAGAGAGAGAGAGAGAGAGAGTATTGTGTGTGTGAGAGAGTATGTGTGCATATGAATGAAAGTGTGTGTGAGAGAGTGTGTGTGTGTGTATGTATGAGAGTATGTGTGTATATGAGCAAGAGAAAGTGTTGTATGAGAGTGTATGTGTGTATGAGAGAGTGTGTGTGTGTGAGAGAGAGAGAGAGAGTGTGTGTGTGTGTGTGTGTATGTATGTGTGTGTGTGTGTTTTGGTCTTCTTTGACCTACTACCTAGGACAGGTTTCTATACTAACAGGATGCCCAGTGAGTATTTAATGATGAATGAATCGTCATCATTTGTCTTTCTGGCAGGTCATCAAAGATTCTGCATAAACATAGTCTTATAAACAACAACAACAAAAATCCCAATTCAAAAATGGACAAAGAGCTTCAGTAGACATTCATAGTTAACAACTAAGCACATGCACAACTATTCAATATCGCGTTAATCATCGGGTAAACCTAAAGACACAATGTACCATTTCATAACCATTCGGATGCTAAGGGCACATGAATTGCCATAATGGAGAGGGAGGATTTATTTAAGGGGCACAGAGTTTGGAATGACGACAGAAAACTCTGGGAGTAGATAGTATACTGATTTATTAGTATGCTGTATACTGCACAGCAGTCTGAATGTACTTAATGCTACTGAATGGTATACTTTAGAATGTCTAATAATAATAACTTCTTTTGTAAGAATATAAATATATTAAAGTATGTACAGTATTTTTAAAATCTGTTATTCATTGATGCACTTCAGTGAACATGGCTTGGCCAAAGAGTGGGATTTCTTGTTTCCATGTAGTATTGCAGTACACATTATCAGGTGAAGATGGTAATGTTGTGGTGATTTATTATAAGTTTTCAGTATATTATAGAACTACGATAGAAAAAAAAAGTGTTATATCAGGAAGATAAGCTATAAATCCTGTTTTGTTTTCCTTTGCTTTTAGTATGATGACCTTGGGCTTGGTTAACACATGGAGTGTTTCTTTGTTGATTCTACTGCTAAAATTTAGAATTTTGCCAGTCTTAAAGTTTCACTTCAAAGAAGTCCCACTATTTAATTGCTGTGTGTATAAGCCTAAGGAATAAGTACAGTCATTCTGCTCTGTTCTGAAAATGAAAAGGAATTTTAAAATAGGGCAGGAGTTTTGGCTTTTCTCCCTGTCCCTTTGGCATGTCTAGTAGAGTGGAGTCACAGTTAAAAAAAAAAAAAAAAAAAAAACACTTGTAAACGTCTTGCTGTGAACTGAGATTCTCTGAATGTATTGGCAGTGATGTACATGTTTGCATTTTCATATTCATTTCAAGCAATACTTCAATGATATCAAAACAGGGCTTCACCAGAAGATGCAGCTTTTAAATTAGAGTTACAGATATTGAACTAAGTCCTTGTGTGTACTTATTTGCGGGGCTTAAAATTTTCTTGGGTATCTTGTCATATGATCTTTTGTGAAATTCCATTTCATGGAGTTTTTTTGGTTGTTTGTCTGTTTTGTTGTTGTTGTTGTTGTTGAGTGAGGAAAACCATCATACCATCTTGAATATTCTTGAAATTAGTTCAAGACAGCAGAAGACAACTATACATATGGTCTCATTATAAATTAGACCTTTACCTTTACCTTGAGTTTAAAGTTCTTTTTGTTTTCTTCCAAAAGTTTCCTTGGTGTCTTGTGCTTTTTGCCCATAAGTTAAAAGTCTGCTGACTTTTTATTTATATCACTTATTTTAATTTCACATAGTTAATGAATTGCTCAGATATTTTCCATTTACTTAACAAAAATGGAGTTCAGTAGCTTAGGTTCAGGCTAACACTGAAATAATACAAAAATTTCTCTTCTTCAAAGTAACTGTTAAATCTGGCCTAGTACACCTTTACAGAGATATGAAAGGTAGTGATAATTCATTCCCAGCACAGACCAAATTGTCATAACATTGCTAGCCTAAAAGCATTCATAGATCCAAATAACACATGAAAGGGTCCTTGCACTTGGAATTTGGATTTGGCAACCATAAGTCAGAGTAGAGAGGCAAATAGACCATAATATAATGGTGTATAAAATCAAGTACTTAACATTTGGGAATATTAGAAATCAGGAACTAAAAGTAAAGAATAGATGTCCTAATTGGTGGATAGAATTGCACTTCAGAAAATAGTTATTACCAACTACAGGTGGGAGAACTGTCAGTCAATTCAGAAATGTTTGACTGCAAAGGGGGCCATAATAGAATCATCAAGGAAAAGGAGAGCCCCATTCATAAGGAAAAGGTATTCATTCACTGGCACCAGGCCTAAGACTGCCAAATAACTATGTTTTAAGCTTCAAGCTGAATTAAAAATCACATTTTTGATAGAAAGTTTATATTGGGCACCATCCCTTTAAACATTCATCTCTTTAGATCAGCAAGCAGTCCTGTTCCAAGGCTACACAGTATGCCATAGCTGCTATTTTAATGGAAAAGAAAATGTAGACATTGAATAAACAAATATGCCTGGCTATGGCCCAAAACTTTATTTCTGAATCCAGGAGACAGATCTGTTTAGCTAAATCCATGTACTAAGTGAAACATGCAAAGCTACCCATGTGTATTTTAGTCTATATTTCACAATCTACAAATTATTTTATTTTAGTTACTTCACGGAAGCCAAGAGAAGATGAAAAAGATGGTCAGGCATATAAATTTGTGTCCCGATCAGAGATGGAAGCAGATATTAAAGCTGGAAAGTATTTGGAGCATGGGGAATATGAAGGAAATCTCTATGGAACTAAGATTGACTCTATTCTTGAAGTTGTACAAACTGGACGGACTTGCATTTTGGATGTCAACCCACAAGTGAGTTGAATGAATTCCAAAGCCATTGTTAATTTTTATTTTCCTGGGGAGTTTTTGACTATGTAGGGTGTGTGGGGGGTGTTATTAAGATGGAAATATGGTTCTGTCTCAACTTCATTTTGAGTCCATAGCTAGATACATGAACAAATGTCAGACAGCCAAGAGGAACAAAGATTAGTAACACTTGATTTTTTAGCAGAGTAAATGACTTGGCATTTTAGGGAAGAACTAGGGCACAGGCAGTAAATTATGTCCTTAACCTTTGGAAAGAGACAGACTTCTGTTTGTACTAATGGCCAGCACATGTCAAGATCTAACATTATATAAATCGATTTGTAATTACTTTTTGCACAGGCATTGAAAGTATTGAGGACATCTGAGTTCATGCCTTATGTGGTATTTATTGCTGCTCCGGAGCTAGAGACCCTGCGTGCCATGCACAAGGCTGTGGTGGATGCTGGAATCACCACCAAGCTTTTGACGGTAGGGAGCTCTTTTCAAGTTAATACTTTTATTCTGTCTTTTCTTCTGAGTATGTTTACATAGTCACAGCACTATGTAAAGTGCTACAGAATGAAAATTGATTTACTAGATGTAATTAGGGTTTGAAACAATATTGCTTTTACATGACAGTCCTTCACTTTAAGACAGAACTTGAGTTTTAGAAAGTGAAAAACATCAGTATTGGAATATATACATTGTAGTCTTTCCATCTACAGCCCTGTGTAACCCTGGAGCCTTCTTGCTTAGACTGTCATCACTCTGTCTAAATGTAGATCTTTTAAGTCTTTGTACCTAAGTATTTTTTTCTTCTAATGTACTTAGAAGTTGCAAATTTTCTATTTGTCCTTTATGTGCCTTTTGTACCAAAAGGCAGGAGCCCTTTCTGTTTTACTTTTTATCTACTGAGTCTGAGACTTTGCAAACATTAATAGGATCCCAGTTCATATTTGTAGAATTACATGTGAAGGTATAGTAGAAGTTTATGGAAAGCTTTACCTTCTCATACAAAAAACATCACTTAGGTTCTCCACTCCCTCCAAACCATCTAGGACAACTTGTCCAAAGCAATCAACAATCTCAAATAAAGATGAAGTCTGTGGGTGTATGTTTTAGCACAGCTTAGAGTCTTCCAGCCACACTTTGAAGAGTCTCTGCCTTTCTAAGTGACAGGAGACAAATGGATTTTGATTTGAACAGCCACTATAAGCTAGGATCCTGGCTTTACACAGGCCATGGGATAACACTCTTTTGGAAAGGATTATATAGAAGTCAACCATCTATAGTAATTCTTGCATTATCTTAGTTAGACTCACCCTAATAGTATTAGGAATTTCATTCTAATGATAGCAGAAGAGAAGGTATAGAATACTCATAAATCATAGAAGTAGATGGAATGATTACAACATAAACAGGTATCTGATAATACCTTCTTGAGCACTATATAAAGTAGATTTTGAGAATTGGCGTCTGAATTCCAACAAATATCCAACTCCCTCTTTTTTTATTCACATTAGATCTGAACGAGTCAGTATTACCATGCACCATGCAAACTATTTTTTTTTTTTTTTAACATTCACAGGACTCTGATTTGAAGAAAACAGTGGATGAAAGTGCACGAATTCAGAGAGCATACAACCACTACTTTGATTTGATCATCATAAATGACAATCTAGACAAAGCCTTTGAGAAACTACAAACTGCCATTGAGAAACTAAGAATGGAGCCACAGTGGGTCCCTATTAGCTGGGTGTACTGATGATTCAATAAGGCTAACAGTTAAATAAAACTTTTAAAAAGTGACTCAACAAGTAAACCTTCTACTGGGAGAATACATGCAGAGGTAGAAGGCATCTGCCACATCTAGCCATTTTTATTGTGTAGATTGAAATAACAGTGCACTAGGTGGAATTTTTATATAATTGTGGTTGGGAAGGTGTAATAATATATAATTTCTCTTAATTTTTCTAACTTTTTATGGATAACCTTTCTATTCATATCACATAAAGAAATGCGTTCAAGCATTTTGTAGGTTTTGATTTAGTACCCTTAACTTTTTCATCAAAGGAATTTTCAGATCATTCTCTTCAACATTGGTCTCACATTTTCACTGTGATAATGAATACTTGAAATAGTTTTGTAAAGCTATCATTCTCTTCAGTGTTTAGTGAAGGGTCAATTATTCCCATTAGAAAAAATTAGTAGTTACTGACCTTCTTAATCAGACTTCTTGCAGAAGCAGAATTTGAATACCTGTACTATCACTAGTCCACTTCTATCTTAATCTGACATCAAAGTCTTTTCAATGCCACCTCTTACTTCAGAGTATGGCTATTCTTTCTTATTTGTGCAGAAAGATCAGCTGCCCTCCCCCATTTCTCTCCCTAGTGAATACAATGAAGAGCAATAGCTTGCACTCTCTTTGGGCTTGTTCTTTTCATTTGTTGCAGTGATTTGCTGATGCTGACGAATGTTGTGTATTAGTTACTTTGTGAGCTCGGGCTGGAAGCAAGGTCATGCACACAGAGAGTGCCTTATCCTGCAAAACTTCACTCAGTGTTTACTTATAGTTTCAAACCTATGACTTCAGTTTCTTTAAAGATATAGTCAGCAAAAGTATGCCTCTGCAAATGTTTGTGATATTTAAAGATGCCACAAGCTGCAAGCAGTTTGTTAATCATCAGATGTGGTTTCTGAAACTGGAAATAATTTGTTAGGGTATTTGTTCTCTGTGTTCTCAAGAACCAAATCCATTGAACGGTTTACAAAATTTGGAAATAATTGCCAGCTATTTATATATACACACATAACACACACATTGTATATACTAAATAATGTTCTATACCCTTTAGATTTCTGTTATATAATGAACCAAATCCTTTAGCTACATTGCCACTGTGTACAGATTTCCACATTCACCTCAGTTGATGTTCTCCTCTAGGGTTCTTAAATGGTACATAGTCTTCCTTAAGTACATGCATTAGTGACGCAGCTCAGCACTTCACTAAGTTAACCTTATTTTATATTGCTGCTAGCTTTTCAATCCAGAAGAGTCAAATTCAAAGGGTTAGGTGCTTAAATATTGATGAGTATTTTTGGTGACAGGCTCCAGACACCTGAATTCTGACTTTGTCTTTCCCCTCATCAAAGTTATATATCCATCTATATAAAGATATTGATAGAGATATACACATACATGCATACATATGTACATATTATGGTAATAAGCAATATTCACACAATATTTTTTATTAACGTCATAATAAAACACCCGAGTTACCATGCTGTTAATAAAGGGGTTCTGCAGGCTTTTAAATTTTAATTCTAGAATTTCATAGCCAAAATATTATTTTTCTTTTTTCCGGGACAGAAATTGTTAACAAAGTGGATCGTACATACTTATTAATTTTTATACCACATGTATTTGCTGGAATTCTTGGATTCTCAAAAGTATGAAGCACCATAAGTCAAAGCACAGTGTTCACATGGCACCCTGTGACTTAATGTTTCAACACGCTGTAAGTTTGGAGGGAAATTTCAGTTCTGCACTCTCAGGAAATGTACGATGTTTCCCAGTGTACCTTCATGCTATTTCATGAAGCCTTTCTTGGCAGCTTTGCTAAAATTGAATCAGCACAGCAACCTACTCTGCTTAACATTGTTTCTATACATGGTACTCATGATTAATGACATAAGCAATCACAGATTTCTCCTAATGAAATTATACAGTTTAGTTCACTGTCCTATAGATGCCAATATTGGAAAGTACAACTGTTTCTCTGTGAAGAATCACTGAACTTGTAACTTAAGTCCCCACCTGAATCTGTAGGAACCAACAGGCCTCACACCAGGATTCTTCCTAGGTGTTATGATCAAGGAAATTTGTACTTCTCTTATTTATAATAACTGAAGATGAAAGGGCTTACAGTGGCATTCAGTAATTGATAATAGTTAAAATATACACACACATGCATGTTCTTCAGGAAAATGTTTTGTATGTGTATCCATAAATGCACCACAGGATGAGTGTCCAACTTCAGCATTCAGGGCATGGTTATTTCTTTACAACTAATGGTTATTTGTATTTTTTGCATTTTCAAATGTACAAATGCTTGTAGAAATGATGTCTCTGAACAAGTCATTTAACTTTTGCTAATGGAATATAGTCAGTGCCCTACAGTAGAATTTTCACCTTCATTACTACTGTGCTTTTATTATTGTTTCCATTTTATGTTTTTAGATAATTACAGATGTCTAATACATCAGGAGTGTCCATTTTGGCTGACTTGATACAGTTACTGACCATAACTTTCTAAAATAGAAATCATCATAAACCAAATAGAACTAAACTCTAGATTCTATAGTCTAGTAAAGTTATTTATAATTATAAAAATTTTTCCTTTAAAATGCCAAATTAGTTATTAAAACATTTAGAAAATAGCAGGACATTGATTATGGCAAGGTACTGCTCTAACCAAAAATGGTAGCTTTTTCAGGCTTAGTAATAATATAAGCTCTCAGGAGGCTGAAGCAAAAGGATTGCAAATTGGAGGCTAGCCTGCATGGTGTAACAAGACCGTGTCTGAGAAACAAAACAACAAGGGCCCAGGGCTATAACATGTGAGATCCTGTGCTTAATCCCCAGCAACACAAGAAATGATCCCTACTTCAAAAATTAATTAAAATGGTAATTTTATATATAACAAGTATCATGACTCAGTGATTGAAATTGATTTCCAAGGCCACCAAATTAGTTATAACTATTTTAAATGGATAAATTCAAAATATAAAAAGTTTGAAAATGGTAAAAAAAAAAAATAGCAATCTACTTACTTTATGCCTACTGAAACAGTCATTCATTACACAGAACTACACTGGAGGAACCTACCTCCACAGTAACTAATCATTACAGTAAATAAGGAAAAGGCATCCTGAAGTTTTGTGTGCATAGTTCATTTTTTAAAAAGAACACACACACAAACACACATACACACACACACAAAGCTATGTGTATAATATGTAACTATCTCCCAAAATTCATGAATAATAAAACTAAATATATTTGCCCATATATTACAGCTAGTGTTATACGGTTTTTTAATTACTTTCAAATTCCTAGACATTCTGATCTACTTTAGGTTCTTTTAAGAGGCTTTGGGTCCATCTTGAAGCTGACACTAATCTCCTTTCTGAAGATTTTACCAGAGAAACTAAGCTCAGAAACTGTTTTTCATTATTAGAATTTAATTTCCTCAAGAAAATTATTTCTGGATGGAGGCCTCTTGGGAAATATTTACTTAAACTTTGAAGTGAAATTGTGCTATACATTAGACTTAAAGATTACAGTGCCTGCCCTCCTCCTGTTCAAGGGATTTGTATGAGAATTCTTATAACATCTGTAATGTATTTGGAGATCTTGGGAGAAATTCAGTATTTTAAATAATGAGATTATTGTATATAACTGAATATTATTCGCAGATTTTTAAGAACGCATTTGATGAATAATTCAGCATCATATTGGTCTTTTTGTAAGTATATGTGATATACCTGAAGATGACAATTTTATAGTTTTTTAAGGTAAGGTTGTTTTTAAATTGTATTTTTGTTTTAGCTTTTAAAGTTATATTCTTTTAAAAATATTTCTCATAGTTCATCTTGTTACTTTGTATCCTGGAGTGACTTTTGAAAAATGCAGAATCACATGTCCTTAGTGGGCTAAAAAGCTAGAGAATGATTCTCCCTTTTCTAAGGTAAGCACGATTTGCACCACTTGGGCAAAACACTACAAGATTGTCTTTAAAAAGCAATCTCTTGTGATAAAAGTAAAAATAGTTTTACTACTTCCACTGACTAAGGTCCTACTTTTGGCCATGTGATTTTGGTAACATTTAATTGCCCTTTACCTTCCATGTGTTATGTAGGGCTAAGTTAATATTTGTTTCATCTTAACTTCTAAGGAGTAACTTGTGATTGTGATGTGGTAACCTCTGAGACTGCTTATTAAATGTGTTCTCATACCTGAGGTTGCTTCTCCTTCAGTCACTGTAAAGTCACCTCATTCAGGGGTGTAGTAGCAGGTGGTGAACTGTTGAGGAACCCATCCCTGGAGTTCAGAAGAGCTCCTTGATGGAGCTGCAGTCTAGTAGATGATCTGGTCTGCCTTTTGGTGGTTCTACTCTAGGTGATCATACTCTACAAGTCCCATTAGACTCCCATTCCAAGTCGCTAGCTGACATGCTGACATCAGAGCAGACTGGTCTTAGCACTCTGAAGCTGCCCTTCCTTATCCTTGTGCCTAAAATTTGCACTGCAACCCAGTTTTTACCCATAGTGTGAAGCTTTATGGGCACCTATATCTTTATTAGAAACAATAATCCCAGTTAGTTCCAATTAGCGAACCCCCAAATCCAGGAAATACTTCTTACTCTAATTGCTTAATGGCTTATGGCTGGCTAACATGATGATATGATAACTGACAACCTCAGGACACAGTCACAATGGCCATTTTTTATTTTTTTAATCACTTGAACAAACTGAGTTAACACATCAATAGTTAAGGTAAATGTTACTTATAACTTGGAAGTTGACCACTTCTTATATATAAAACTACTGCTTTTTTAATCTCTTGACTACCACTACCACAGAACAGAGATGTCCTGGGGCATAAGCCCAGGGCTTTGCATACACTAAGCCCTCTCCACAGTAGTCCCAGCCTTCATTTCAAAAGTCAAGGCAAACTATGAAAAGGCAATCTATACATAAATGTGATAGGTCATATCTCTGATCTGGCTTTCCTCCTGTACTAGTCAACGTTGCCTGAGAACATAGAGGAAACTTAAAAAAGAAAGATCACAACATTAAAACTGTTCAGCTGAGGAGGGTAGGGCCTTAGAGGTGGATCACTTTGCTAGCCCTAGGCCCTAGGCACATCAACAACCCACAAACAAGCAAAAACTTCTTAGCTATAAATTACATTAAGCCAGAAGTCATTACCAGTTAAGACATGATTACACCTATGTCAGACAGCAGGTTAGTGGTAACACTGCTAATAAGTGTGGTTCAAGTGAGGAATAACTTAGTCTTACAGGAAGAACCGCTTATGTACTATACTGTTACAGAATGAACATGGCCTTCTCAAGGACAAGTCAGTCTGAGCACATGGAGACTAACAGAGGAAAATTCCTCTAATAAAAGCATGTGCCTGGTTCTGGCTAACACACAAAGGCAAAGCAGCCTCAAGTAAAAGATTGTACCAATTTATATAGGCCTTGGGCTTATACATTCCCTGCATGCTGCCATCCTTAAATCTCTTTCAGATCTGGCCCCAGGTTACACTTGAACAATTTAAAGAGGCAGGAGTCTGCAAGTCTCATCAGGTGGGCACATGGAAGATTTACGCAGCAAAGATACACCAGTGTTGTTTTGGATGCTTGCTATGCAGAGTCATCTTGCCCGCTTGGCAGAATTATGATTAAAAAAAAAAAAAAATAGAGACCTAAAATGGCAGATTAGAACTTAATGATGTCTGTTACCTTGCGCCACTCCCTTGAGCTGCCACCCTAAAGACATGTATTCTGATACGGGAGTGGGTCTCAAGGCTCATCATTCTTAGTTAACAGTCTCAGGAGTCCTAAACTCCCTTATGTTTGAGGAACAAAAGTTTCTTCTGACAAGCCTGGTTAGCACACTGCCCATCTCCCAGGTCTCCCTGGCGGTGCCATTCCCTTCGCATAAGTGAAGTATCTCCTTTGTAACACCACTGCTGTTGGTTCATGTTTCTCCTATATCAGTATCTGAACAGGAAATGCAAACAGATGTTTGTTTTCATTGTATGTCATCTTAAAAGAACAATGCTGGTTCCTGTTTCTTTAACACTGGTTTTTGTTGCTGTTTTTTGAGCCATAGTGTTATCTTAGGGTCACTATTGCTGTGATGAAACACCATGACCAAAACAAGCTAGGGAGAAAAGGGTTTATTTGGTTTACACTTCTATATCACTGTTCACCAATGAAGGAAGGCAGGACAGGAACATAGAACTAGAAAGCCAATGCAGAGGCCATGGAGCAGCTCTGTTTACCAGCCTGCTTTCTTATAGAACCCAGGATCACCAGCTCAGGGATGGCACCATCCACGGTGAGCTGGGTCCTCCCCCACCAGTCACTAATTGGTAGGCTTGCCTGAAGCCCGATCTTAAGGAGGAAGTTTCTCAGTTGGGATGCCCTTCTTTCAGATGACTAGCCTGTGCCAAGCTGACATAAAATTAGCCAGCACAAGTGTTCAGCAACTAATGAAATTTTCTGTAGGCTTTTTTGAATTGTCAGAACCCACAAAGACCAGTTGATGTGAATGACTTGCTGTGGGAATTTTTTGTCTCCCCACCCCCCAGTTCAGTTCTGCATACCTTTTCTCCTAACACAAACATAAGGTCTTTTAGCTCCACCCCTTTCAGTGACTGTAAGGAGTTTTCAGTGGAAGACAGCATGCTTATTAAAGGCAAAGCTTGCAAGCTGCTTACAGAACTTTCTGATGAAAAGTTTTAAAAATAAAAGTTCAGCATCCCTGCTTTCCAGGTGTCTGTATGCTAGTGTCTGCAAAGAGACACATCATTGCTGTCCTTGAATACCTGAATTTCCTATAATACAGTAAGGACTGCTTTGTCTGAAACTCATTTCCATGTACAGCTAAAAATTATTACAGTTTCAGTTTGTGAGATTACATATTCCTAGTAAAAAATTTTTGTATATATAAATACTTGCTGTTGGAAAATTGGCAGTGCTTTGTTTATAGGTAGAACTAAGAGATAAAACTACAGGATATCACATTCACTTTGATTTAAATTATTTTTTAAGTTCTTCATTAAATTTTCCCACCTAAATAAATTTTCACCTGCCTCTACTTTTCAGCCAGGATTCCCTATGTTGTTGTTTCTATTCTTGCTGATGCATGATGGTGGCTTTCATAGAAAAGGGTTTCAGAGTTGGGGAGGATTAAAATACAGGCTCAAGGAACAAAGACTCTGCTTAAACAGCATAAGTCACTGTGGCCACTTTCCATCTGCCCAGGAAAGAGAAGCCATGTGTTTCAGCAAACAGCCCTCTTGTGGGTTGCATCTTAACATTGGGCCTGGCCTGCAGGAAGAGGACAGGGACCCACCAAAACATAGCAGTGTGGTGTTGCGTAGCAGGAAACCTTTCCAGAAGTGCTGTTTGGAACTCTCCCCTGCTGCTTTCTAGAATTCCATACCTCACGTTTAGGAACCTGCTTCTTAAGGGTCTTTCTGATGTCTCCAAAAGAATGCTTTTTGTTTTTCCCATTCTTTGTGTGTGTGCTTGTGTTCACATGTGTACATAAAGGCCAGAGATGTCTTCCTTTATTGTTCTCCAGGTGTTTTGGGTTTTTTCCCCCAGACAAGTTCTCTGACTGAAACTGAAGCTCGCTGGTTGGCTAGTCTGGCAAGCAAGCAAGCCCAGGCGTCTTCACCTCTGCCTTCCAGTGCTGTGTTACAAATGTAGTCACTGATATCCTACATGTTTGCCAGAGACCCAACTCAGGTTTTCGTGCTTGTACAACAATCGCTTACCCACTGAACTATCTCCTCGATCCCTTTTATATTTTCCATTTTATACAACTCATTATTCAGGGGTTTTCCCCCCTTAATTAGAAGGATAATACAAAATTCCAACTAGAAAATAAATGTAAGGAAATAACTTTTTTGCCTTTTGTCCCGATCTCTAAAGTCCCTCAATTGCAATGTACCACTGTCAGGTTTCTTCTGACTTCTAGACATGAATTCCCACGCACATATGTGTGTGTTTTCCACCTGTGGATTCATACATGGTCTGTCCATAGCTTGCTCTTCATGCTGTATGTCAGAAATAGATGAGACACAGCACAGCCAACTTAGCACAGCTACACACATTTACATTTCCTTCCTAATTTATGATCAGTTTATTTCTGAGCAGTGCCTCTGATACAACTTTAACCCCATAAAAGACAGCTGCATGAGGTGGAGCCTCATTTCATTTTTGTTACTCTCCCTTTCAGTCTGAAGTGGAGGTGAGAACTGCATGCTAACATGCATCTCTCTGCTGCTTCTGCCCAGAGACATTGGGTGTGACCTGTGTAGTAAGATACTCAGTGGAATCGGGAGGCTTGGGGAAACTGTCCAAGCCTGCTGGAGCAGAAGGACATCAGAACAGAATAAACAGAATTTCCTTTGATAGAAACTGCAGCATGTGACAAATTCCCAGAATGCACTGTAACTGTTCCAGACATGGTATGTTCTTTAAAACGAAACAAAGTCAAGTAAGTCTAAATCCCCATGTTGAGGTGGGTGAAATCACATGTCCTTTATATAATTTTGTTTTACATATTCAAGTACCATTTAGTTCCTCAGTCATCAAATAATGTACAGCATGTCCCAAAGAAGTGAGGAGAATTGCTTTCCTACAGCATTCACAGCCTGAGATGAAGCTTAAAGTCTCAAACTCTTCTGTTATGGTATAACAGAAGTGAGTGGAAAATAAACTGACAGGTGAGTCAGGTACGAAGCACTTGACTTTTTCCTCAGTAACTCAGATGTTGGGAGACTACACCTTGGTTACAGGGGTTTGCTGCCTGTTGGCACAGTGGGCCTCTGATGAAAATAATCCATTCACAGTGCTTGCAGGCACTCAGTGTGGAAATCACTACTCTTACTATTGGAAACAATTTACTGACCAACTTAACATGCTTGGGCCCAAAATACCAAAGTATTTTCTCAGTTCTGAAAAGGGCCCAGCCTTGGCCAGTAGCACATACTTCTGACAAAGACATTACTCGTGTTCTTTGCTTAGAGTGCAGAGCCCACTTAGAGTGATATGAAGAATTAATGGGAAAATAAAAGAGTTCTTCAGGATGTTGACTTTCACGGACAACCGCATCCTCTCCAAGACAATGTCAGCAGAGGCAAACAAACGCTGCACAATCTCAAACCTCTCAGTATCTCTCAGAGGAGCCAAGGTGGGGTCTTCAAAATCACATACACTGTCATTAGACAGAGTGTGGAGCTGAAATGACAAATTTTAAAAAAAACTTCAAAATGTCCCAGGAAATCCAAGTTTGATACCTTTTTAAACAATTCTCCCAAATAGGACAGGAAAACCATTAAACAAAACAAGATACATGTTTTTCATGATAAGACCTTACGCCTGTTTTTCTCTTCCTTGTCTGTCTTCCTGTCTGAAGCCCCATTCTGTTACATCTTGCAGACCCATTAGCCCAGTAGGGTAGAAAAATCAGCATGTCCCTTTTGTATAGCACATAAAGAGTTCATCTGGCTTTACTGATAAACAAGTGCATTTTTGTGGGATAGAGTAATTCAATACATATATAGAATCTGTAATAAAATCGGGGCAATAAGAATTTTTGTCTACACACACCATTTTGTGGTGAACTTTTTACACACTTGTAATTATTATGAAGTATGGGTGATTTACCTGTTACCTACGGTGATAAAGATCCAGAAGTAGCCCTCCTGTCAGGGGTTTGAAGCTCATTAGAACTTCAGCCACCCTCCCCACAGCTTGTGTGAGTCTACTGGTCACAATTCTACTCTGTTCTTCCAAGAGTTTAACTTAGTTTTCCACAAATGCATGAGAGTGTGTCTCCTGTGACTGGCTTGTTTTATTTAACAATGACCTTCAGTTCCAGCCATGTTGCTGCCAATAAATAACATGGTTTCATTTCTTACAAGTGAATAATATTCCACTATGCATTTATCTGCATGTTCTTTGACCTTCCTCTTCTGAAGAGCATCTGGGCTATTGTACATTTTAACTCTGTGAATAGGCTCAACAAACATGGGAATGCACATCTAATCTTGATATTTCATCTTCAGATAGACATGGTAGCATTTAGCAATTTAGTGTCTGGAGGACCTTCCATTGTGTTTTCTATAATGGCTGTACTAATTATATCCTTTGCAGTAGTGTGTAAGAATTATCCTTTTTCTACATCCTCTCTAGTATCTCTTACACCTTTTTGATGATAGTTATTTTAATGAGGGTGACATGCTATTAAGAATATTTGTATATTAAAAAAAAAAAAATCTTTTAGCCAGGCAGTGGTACCACACACCTTTAATCCCAGCACTCGGGAAGCGGAGACAGATGGATCTCTGTGAGTTGGAGGCCAGCATGGTCTACAAAGCTACACAGAGAAATGCTGTCTTGAAAAACCAAAATTGTATGTGACTCTATGCTTGTCTTGTCTCTTCTAGGTATCCAAATAATGCATTTGGTGGAATTCCTCCAATTTCAACTTCTAAATATGGAAGCAACATTGAAATTAGCTCTTGGTTCATTGTTTTTGTAGAATTCAGCAGTCCTGGACTATCTTTAGGAAATTTCAATTACTGTTAATATCTCATTGACCTATGTAGATTTTCTGTTATTTTAATTCAGTTAGCTGAGTTAAATGTGTCTGTTGTAGGTTTCTGTTTTTTAGTATTGTAGTTGTAGTCATTCCTTGTGACCCTGTGTACTTCTGTGGGTTGTAAATAATGTCTTCTTCCATCTCAGAGTCTACCAACTGCTTACACACAGCCTTACTTGTTTTGACAATTTTGCTTCCAAATCACCCAATTGTTTCATTGATTTTTGTGGGTGGTTTTGTTTTGTTGGAAAAGGGTCTCAATGTGTATCCCTGGCTCTTTTGTAACTCACTGTAGATATATATATATAGATATAGATATAGATATATCAAGCTGTCTGGAAAGAACAGAGATCCTCCTGCCTCTGCCTCCCAAGTATTGGGATTAAAGGTGTGCGCCACCACCCCCAACTCTTTTGTGTTTTTAAGTTTTGACTTTCTGCACCCTTGCAGAAACTAACTGCAGCAGTTGCTTAGTTGCTAAGATCTTTCTGTTGGCAAATGTATGCATTTATTGTTCACAACTTCCCTTTCTCTGCTGTTTGCTATAGACCATGGGTTTTGTTGTGCTTCTTGCGTTTGTTTCATGAATTTCTCCACTTATCTATTAGTCATTAGGAAAGTGTATTTTTATAATTTGTTCCTTTTTTTTTTTTAAGTTTTATTCCCTTGTGATCTCCAAGGATACATAATACTCATTCTATCTATGCTAAAAATGGACTTTGGGATAAAAATACAGTGAGGTCGTAAATTAGCTGGTGAAATGACAAAGTTAGAATGTGTGTGGATAGTTAGCGAAGAAGAGGTGAGCATGATTATGCCTTCGTCTTTTTTTTTTTTTTTCCAAGAAGAGAGGTTCCTAGAGCATGTGTCTTCAGGGGTAATAATAGTTTCCAAAGAGTATTTTTTTTTTTTTTAGAGGAACAAAATAGTCATGATTTAACTCTTAAGTAGAAGCTATAAAGTAATAGCTATGAATTATAATGGCACCAGCTGTCACCTCCATCATTTTCAAGGGATTTATAAAGAAAAATAAAAAAGATATCTTCCAGGTTAAACTGCTATGGGGGGAAAAAGACTCAGTTTGGGTTTCATCAATATTTTGGCCCTTTTATTTAATGTAGTGCAAAACTTTCATGTACAAAAAGATTTAGTTATCAGTGTGTTATATCTAATGATTCATTTGTAGCCATTGACTCTAAGGCAGCAGTTCTCAACCTATGGGTTGAGACCCCATAGGAGGTTTATATCGGATATTTACATCACGGTTCATAACAGTAGTAAAATCAGTTGTGAAGAAACCATGAAATGATCTTGTGGTTAGTGGTCACCACAATATGAGGAACTGTATTAAAGGGTTGCAACATTAAGAAACTAGCCCGTGGGGACCAGAGAGGTGGCTCAGCAGGTTAGCACATATTGTTCTTGAAGGGGAACATTAGTTCCCAGTGCTCACATGGTGGCTCCTGATCCAAAGGATCTGACCCTTGAGGGAATCAGTCATATATGTGCTATAGATACACACACGCAGACAACACTCATCCCATAATATTTTAAAAAAGAAAACGGGCAAAGATTCACTCTAAATTATGCCTTGGGGAAGGGGTGGTCACTGATGGGCTTTAGAACAATAGTGAAGTTCTGCTGGGTGATGGCAGCATGTGGTTCATGTGCAGACAGTAAGGCTACTGAAGGGTAGTATGCCAGAGTGAAAGGTTGTACTCTGATATCAGCAGACCAGCTTTAGCTTAGAGGAGACTGGGAAGAGTGAGTGGGTTATGAAGAATTAGTGGGGCCTTGATACAAAAACTTCCACAAACTTCTTCCTAAAAGTTCACCCACAAAATAATATCTTATTTGTCCTTCACAATCATTTGGCAGTTAGACCTTTAATGTCTGGCAGCCCATGGAGCCTGCCAGTGCCTTGGCTTTACCCAGTCCTTTGTACCACTGCAAGAACCCTAAGCATCCTTTCTCTGAATTAGATTCCCAGCCTCTCTTTAGTATGTCTTGTGCCATTTCTTATCCTTGGCATAATAAAGCTTAATGCGCCTTGGCTGTAGTAGGTAGAATGTGGATAACTAGTTATTCTTGATTTCTTTTACAATTAATGAACTGTCTTCAAATTAAAAAAAAAAAATGCACTGAGACTTCTTTGTAGCCTAACATGCTGTAGACCTTTGAGTAGTGCATGTCGTAATGAGTTTGCTGCTACTGCTGCTGGTTAAGCTTTCCTGTAACTGATAACTCACACGTTTAGACTCAGGTGTTTAGTTTTATGTCTAGATGTGCTGCCCATAGTGGAAAAATGGAAGTCCCTGACTTCACCTCTGTTCATCCCCCTGCTTTCATATCTACAATTGTTTTGACTATTGGATTGGTAGTGTTAGATCCATATACATTTGCACTTCTGCATCTGGTTAGTGGACTGATATATTTATGACTATATAGTGGTTGCATTCTCTCTCTAGTTTACTTGAAGTTCATTTTACCCTGTGAGAATATGAGTGTAACTCCTGCTTGCTTTTGGTTTCCATTTGGATGCTTGCTTTTTTTTCTTCCTTTTTCTTTCTTTCTTTTCCCCCTCCCTATTCCTTTTAATACGTCTTAGCTAGGGTTTCTATTGCTGTGAAGAGACACCATGACCATGGCAAGTCTTATAAAGAAAATCACTTAATTGGGCTGGCTTAAAGTTTCAGAGGTTTAGTCCATTATTATCATGGTGGGGCATTATAGTATGCTAGAGAAGAGCTGAAACTTTTGTACATCTTGATCCACAGGCAGCAAGAAAAGAGCTTTGTAACATTGAGCCTGGTCTGAGCATTTTGAGACCTCACACCTGTCCTCACAGTGATATACTGCCTGGGGCCATTGCTATTAAAAACCACCACATACACGTACATTAGTAAGTGGATTCCTATGTCTGTGGACAGCATGGAGTGATGGATTTTTTTTTTTTCTTCTAAGACAGGGTCTCATGCAGCCCAGACTGCCCTTAAAAATGCCTCCATATCCCAGTTTCTCGGATTACAAGCATTCACCACCATGTCCAGCTCTTTCTTACTGTTTCTTTTTTTCATTTATTCAGCTAGTCTATTGGTTGGTGAATTTAATTCATGTACATGTCGTTATGTTGCTCTATTTTTCTTAATTTGTACAGATTTCTTCACCTGTCACTTTTTTGTGATTTCTTAATAGCTGACCTGCTGAGGATTTGGTGTTACTCCTTCCTTTCATGTATCTGTTTTGCTAGTGGGGTTTGCATAGTCACATACTTTGATAATGGCACCTAATCTTTCACGTGTGGTGTCTACTCCCATTAGTATTTCTGCAGTGCTGTCCAGTGTCATCAATCAGTTCCCTCTGTTTCTGCTTGTGTGAGACATCCTTGTCCTCTTCACTTTTAAAGGCTATGGTTTCCTGGTTGACAGTAGCTTTTTCAGTATGGGCATCCCTGTGTAACTAGTTTTGCTTTTCCTTCTGATTCTGTCCTTGTCTTATAATTTTGATGTGTTGACTATAATATGCCTTTGTGAGGGCATTCTCAGCTTATTAGTTTAGTTGGTGTCTTTTAAGTTTTTGTGTTGATAACTATATCTCTTCGAAGATTTGGGAAGTTTTCAGATATTATTTCATGAAACTGGTTTTTAAATACCTTTTTATTTTTCTTCCCAATCTGGAATCCCCACAGTGCAGATATATTGCTCATAAAATTCTGTTGTAGATACCTTGTAGCTTCCCCCATTACCACACCAGCCCCTTGTCCTTCAGAAGTCATTGAAAACATTATCCTTACGTTCTGCAGTCCTTCCTGGTACTGCTTCCTGCCTGTGGGTCAGAGCTTTGTATGTCTTACTGCACTGGCTGGATGTGTTAGCTCCGGAATTAAGAGTCTTTGGTATTTTTTTAGTAACATTTCTAACTTTAAATTTCTCATTTATAGCTTGAATTGTTTTTTCTTCTTTGTATTATTTTGTTTCTATTCTCTTGGAGCTTATTAATGTTTCTGTGGGATCGTTACTGTAAACTCTCTTCAGACTTCCTTCTCAGAGATTATTATTAGAGAACAGCTATTCTCTTTGGAGCTGGCTTGTTCTCTGTATATTGTACATCTGTGGAACCTCCAATATTTTGAGGCACTTTCTATAGGAATTTTCATTCATTTTAGTGTCAGCTGGATAGATGCTATGGCTTTAGTTATGCATGAGCTCAAGGGTATATAGGTGCTATACAATGTCTCATTTGGTTCCTACCATTAGGGTTAGGGGTACAGCAACAATCCTGACTACAGTAGTTCATAAAGGTATCTATAGGGCTTTGCCAAGAGCACAGGCTTCCAAGTGTGTTCAGCTACTATGGACTCATTGGTATGAAATGCAGGAGCAGCTGTCCAGGTGAGCATAGATCATATCAAAAGTTGTAATAGGTACTTGGGTCTGTAACAATTCTAGAGCCACAGGATGGAACTAGCCACTTTCTCCCGGTCTTGCTAGATAAACATCTATGGGATTTAAGGTTTAAAAAATAAAGGAGCTCTTCCCTAATCCCATGGGGGTGATCAAAGTTGCTGGGGCTTTATAGGTGTGGAATTCAGATAGTACCTCCTCCAGGATCCAAGAGATAAGCACAAGTTTTACTCAGTACTAGCAGTCCTAGCCCAAAGTCAGTGGACTGGAAGATAAGTTCCTTGGGTCTTCCCAATAGTTCTAGTTTCTGCTTGAATGTGCAGGACATGGGGGACAATTCCCCTTTGTGCTACAGGTTAATGTGAATGGTATGCAAGTCTGTCTTTTTGGTGTCTGGCTGCAAGGCTAGGGTAGAATTATACCTAGATCATATATAGAGTAAGAATGGAGAGGCCAATACTTGTGGCATTGTTTGCCATGAAACTGAAGATGACAGATGTGATCCCAGCTGTAAGCCTGAGTGTTGCTGAGGCTTTTTGCACCAGTAGCTACAGTTCAAAAATTGTAGGCACAAAAAGTTCCCCAGTTCGCACTGTGGGTGGGTGCAGGTGTCATTGGCAGTTGGGGCCCTGGTGGATGATTCCTGGAGCGACAGGACCTGACTGGGAACTTGGCCAGCTCCTGATAGATTAGTGAGGTTGGGGCTCCATAGTGCAGCTCCAGCCCCACAGTCAAGATTGTAGAGTGAGGAGGAGATGGCTCCTGTGCATGTGGCTATGCTACTTCCCAGCCAGAAGTAGCAAAATGCTGACGACACTGTCTTGCACCCAATGTGGGCATAGGACCCAAGGTCTATAATAAGGTAAGAGCCCAGCTGATTACAGACATCCAACCCAGGTGACCACCACCTTTGGAGCCCTCTTTACACAGGCCAGTTCATCCAAGTGGACAAAACTGTAAGTAGTCTAGCATGGGCAGTTAGACTTGCAAGCTTGCAGAGTGATGAGGCCTCAGCCATTTTCCACTCTTTCCCCAGACAGCATCAGGCGTAGTGAAGGGCAGGGTACATACAGCAGGTACTCCCCACATTGTTTAATGTTCTAGCCACTTTTTTTTTTTTCTGATTTCTAGAGTTGTGCAGTGTACAGTTTTTCCTTTACTCTGGGGAAGTATGCACTCAATATTACTACCACTTGGCCATCAGTTGTTTTGTTTATTAATGTAAATGGCAATATTAGAATTTCTAGGATATTTTGATTAACTCAAATGTGGGTACTGCCATTCATTAATTGTGTTTCCTGCTTCAAGAACCTTGCTCTTCTATATCCTCTGACTAGGAATAGGTTTCTCTACTGATTCAAACCTACCCTCTTATCAGTTCACAGCACATGGTTATTATATCGGACACTGTTTTCCCAAAACGCCTAAAGAAGACTCTTTGAGAGTTACATAGGCCTTCAAACAGGAATGCAGGTAGATGGTGTGCCCTTTTTTAGGTAAGTCACTTTAAGAAGTACGCAATACTCCACTCTTGCAGGAGCATGACTCTTCTAAAGAGCAGCAGTCAGAAATCTACAGAGATTACCTGAAGGCTCCTAGGTAGATTTTCCTTTAAAGAAACCCGTTTTGTCTGCTGAGCAGCCTCCAAAAGACCAGCAAGGTGCATCTGCACACAGCACAAGTCCATCCATTTTGGAACTGGTTCATGGCTGGTCAAGAACATCAGCCAAGGTCAGAGCCAGAGCTGACTAAAGGGCTGCTAAGTGAGTGGATTAGGTCCTGGCTCCTTTAGCACAAGTTTCTTCTTTGTGTACTTCCTCAATGGCTTTAATTAGTCCCTAAATACTCGAGAAACAGATTTTGGAAGTGCTGAGCACTCAGTGCTGCAAGAGGCAACAGAGCTGTTTCACTCGTCTTGTACAATTAGGACAGTTATATCATTTATACAAGCAGCCATCACCCTCAGCTGGTCTGACATATGGTGACATGTTTCCAAGTAGTTGAGTATCCACTGGAGCATGGGTCAATTCTGATGGCAACTGCCCCCCGTGTGATAAGATACCTAGTGGCCTTGGCTTCTGACACATCCTCCATACAGAACAATATCCAAGAGCACCTACATGGTTTGGTATTCCCAGAAGGCATGCAGAATGCAGGTAGGCCTGTCTAGGCAATCTGCATTGCCAGCTTTGCTCTATGGGTTAACAGTGGGCCTTGGACCTAAAATAAGTTTTCCAGGGATGCCTTCCACCAACACAGGCTATGGAAGCTGCCTCTGGGCAATCTGGGGGAGCTTGTTGCTAGTCCCTCTGCTAACTATCCTCTCTAACTTCAGAACTTAGCTCCTCCACTCTGCAGCTGCATTCATTACTGGTCACTTGCTCTTGCAGTGATATTTCCAGAGAGCATCAAGCTACTAATAGAGGATGGAAGAAGCTATGTCTCCTCCAAACAGCAGCCCTGAGTGCTTCCTGAGAAAAAAAGGAGATTCAAACCATTCCACACACAGCAGTGACCAACAACACGGTGTTGGGCCTCTCAGTACCGAGCTATGGCCAAAAGTCTCCAAACTGGGGAAAGAACATGATTGGAGTCTGCACACTGGACTGCTTCGCTAGCCAGTTCTTTGAACACTTTGCTCTGGACATCCCACAGTACCCATATGTTAATGATGACACATGCTTACACTGTCTCAAGATGAGAAACTGGATGTGTTTTACCAGTGGATAACATCTATCCCTCATCATCCCCATTCCTTTCCATCCCATTGTCCCATCTGAAGGTTCCTTACCAGGTGGCACAACACATGGATAATGTGGAGTTTACAGCAAGTCCCCAGGAGAACTGTGGCATTATCTGGCATTTCTGTAGAAGACATACATTGTGGTCATGGTCATTGTCAAAAGGCAGTTTATGGGAACCAAGCATGGTGATGCATGCCTGTAATTTCACCCCTAGAGATGCTTACCCAGAACTCTGAGCATAGCACAAAGACAGCTCTCATCCTGATGTATGCCCTAGGCTAGACATCCTCTGCCCTCATTTAACTGCCTAGAAGACAGTGTAAAGCTGCCCAGCAAGTCTGAGAAAAGGTGATTCAGTTACAGATGAGGTTCTGTAGTACTGAGGACTAGGATTTGCTCATATTTACACAGGCAGAGGAAGCTTTCCAGGAGACAGGCAACCGCAGTTCTGGAAGTAGTGAAGCAGGATAAGGCCAAATACCGCTGTCAGGGCCCAAGAGGACCACTTTCTGTCCGTAGATCTTAGGATGCCTCTCTGGGAAGAGTTGGCCAAGGATGAATCCAAGACTAACCAGAATACTACTAAAAGATCTTTAAATAAGCCAACCTCTGCTATGGCTGCTAAATTTGAGATCACAGCTCAGATGAAAAGGGCAGGGTTGATGTGGATGCTGACTAAACCTAAAACTTTCCCTGCATCCAGCTTCCAAACGGGAATAAGTTTTTTGTTACAGCCCCTTGTGTGGCCACCTGTCCTCACCTAAAGAGCTATGTCTAAGTCAGGAAGAATAGGAATGTGGTATACTCCGTCAGCCATGAGCTATTCTACATAGAAATGCTTTAAATAGTAGAGGATACATAAGAAGTCTTCTCATAAGCCTAACAGAAAGCCTGTATTCAAGCATGTTCACTGTTAACATGGATCCAGGCTCCAGGTGGAGTGTCACAGAGCCTATGTCTTGTATCTAGTCCCAGTCAACCACTCAAACCTTTATCTGTGGTTTAGAGCAAGACACGGGGTTTACCCATCAGCACATCAAGCTGGAACATGATTTCTGATTCATTTTTAAACACTGATGGTTCCCTAGGCTTTTCCCGCTCTAGTGCTAGGAGAAAGCCCCTGTGTATCAGGACCCCAGTGCCTATTAGCATGCATTGGAGGAAAGGTGGACCTCCAGGGACGGGATGTAGCTACAGCTGTGTCTCAGAGAGTACCACCAGGCTTTCCTGCATGGTGGGTGGCTCCATGTAACAGTAACTAAAATCCACTTCCCGCTGGGAAGCTCAAGACTTAAGCAAAAGCCCAGCCACAGCCTGCCTCCTAGCCTTGTATATCATACACCACATATTCTGAACCCTGAGAATACCATGAAGTACACCACAAGTGTCCAAAAAGGAAGGTGAGGAGTGAGACAAACAGCTGCCAAGGGAAAGTGCCTGTCACAGAGGACTGTCTGGACCCTGGTGTGGGTCACAGGCTGTACTTTGAAAGGGACTTTCAGTGAGGGAACCAGGAGATAGTCTTCCCTGAGTAGGACAGACATACCCTCAGAGTAGAGGCTCAGAATAACAGGATTCTCCCCTGGCCTTGCAGCTGCTTTCCTCAGGACTGAAGTGAGAATTACACCAAAGCATCCTTGGTCATCATTACCTCTATGTCCCAGAAGCACACACAAAAAGCAGCACTACTTCCCAGCCCTGTTCTTTTTTGTCTTGGTTTCCATACCTGCTAGTGCACTGACCAGGAAGTAGGCTGTTGCAAAGAGCTTCTGGTTGCTGACCTCATCCTGTGGGCCAGGACGCTCACCCTGTACTCTGCACCCCACCAGCTGCAGGAAGGCTGTGAGGTCCTGCTGCTGACTGTCTGTCAGCTCCTCCATCGCCAAGACAGCCTGTGAGGACCAGAGGCCACTAGCCATATCATCACACTACAAATGCAGAAAGGGAAGAAAGGCTATGGTGAAGCCAGAACCCAACTGAGCCTCCTCTGTCCTACCCCTGCCTTCCCAACACTCCATGCACCTCACCTTCTCCAGGTAAAGCAGGCACTGAGCCCTCTTCTTTCCTTTTATGCTATCTATGGGATTAAATTCCCTCCTAAGGACACAGCAAGGTGAGCCCTGCCCAAGTACCATCCTCCCCCCAGGAAAGGTCATTTTGAGTTTTACCAGACACCAGGGACAAGTGGCTACATACCAAACTGATGAATGGGACAGACATAAAAGCAATCCCTTTCTTCATTCCCACACATAAAAACAGCCCTCTAAACCTAGTGTGTCCCCAGCCTGCCTTGGCAGCTTAATCCAAGCCCACAGGGCTGTCTGGGGAGGGCTGGCACTACCCATGAACCAGTTCTGACCTCCTGGCCTATCTCTACTCCATAAGTGCCCTGTGTCCCCTCTGACACCCAGCTGCAGGCTGACGCTCTGCCAGCACCTGACAGGGCAGCTGCTACTCTCCACAAGGGACCAGCCTGATGTTTTTCTCTAGGAAGGAGCTATTTTATGAAGTAAAAGTCATGGGATTTTGAAACATTTGTGTTCTTCCTGAAGTTAAGCCCTGCATCCTCCAGAAGGTAAACTGAACCCTTCAGACAACTGCAATTCTGTCTCTGATTACTAAGCTCCCTGGCACAATCTCATTTCAAATGCTAAAGCATTTGAGCAATATAGAAAGAAGGGTGAAAAACATTCACAATGAAACAAAAATTGTCAAAGCCTCTGCCTCATTAAGTACAAAAAATCTGAACTGATGGAGGGTGAGCAGCTAGCATGTCCCTCAAAATCTTGCTGTTGCAAAACAAAGCAATAAATACCTACTTATCTGTGTCCTAAATGGGACAGGCTGACAGGCTCTACCTCATAGCCCTTCAGTGTGAGCTACGCCATCTCCACTGCAGTCTCAGAACGGGTCTATATGGAAGGAGTCTTTGCAAGGGTCATTAAAGTGAAAGTCTCAAAGTAAGAGCACCCTATATGCAGTAACAGTGGTTCTTGGTAAGTTTTGTGTCTAGAGAAGACCCCCAAACAAGTGAGAGAGGACAGGACAGAGATAAGAGTGATGCAGCCACAAGCCAAGGAATGATAGGAGCCACCAGAAACAGCAAGCAACAAGGATTCTCCCCGAAATCTTTAAGAGGGGCAGGGTCCTGCTGCCACTGTCAATTCTGGATTCTGCCCACCAGGTCTGTAAGAGAATACATTTCTGATATTTTTAAGCACGGGGCGTGTGGTCATTTGTTATAGCTCTAAGAAAGTCACTTATCCCTCTCGGCCTGATGTCAGCATCAAACTTTACAGTTAAAAGGAGGTGGTGAAATGTAATTCTGAATTCTGTCCTCAGGAGTCTAGCCTGTGCACATTTTCAGAGCAACTGGGTACAAACCCAAACTCAGCACCCTCCCCCCACCCCCGACTCCTCCACCCCTCACCTCTAACCCTACCCCTAACCCCCTCTCCTGCCACCTCACCACTTGCTCCAGGGCCTTAAGGAGTTCCTCATCAAACAGGACTGTCTGCAGGAGGCAGAACAGCGCCATCTGCTGCTGTGCAGGTAACACGGCAAAAGGATGGAAGCTCCTCTCCAGGTGCAAAGTTGCTGGGGATGCAGAGCAGATGCAGGGTCAGGCCTAGCTCACAACCTGACTCTCAGTCACCCCCTTCCAAAGGACTCCAGGCTCAGAGGTGGCTGTGGGGCTTGGAGATACACAGCACCGTGAGTGATTCTCAAGAACCAAGGAAGCTACAGGAAAGGAAGCGGGGACAGGGAAGCACACTGTGACACCCCAGGCCTCACCCGTCTCTGCCCATGCAGTGCTAACCTTGACCAGGTAGTTCCTGGCAGCTGATCTTCTTTGGCATGGTATCTATAGAAATGTATCCTGAGTAAGCTGAGTCACTAAGCATGAACCACACTGGTCCCCAAACACATCCTTCCCAGCGCTGTTTAGAGACACACCACAGTTTGGCAGGCTTTCCTTTTCAATGCATGGCCAACGGCCAGCACCCTGCTTTCATGACACACTTCACTCCCTGTGCCTTTCACCCCTGCTCAAGATGAGCACAGAGTGCACCCTGCTATGCTGCTCATATCCTCTACAGGGAGCCTGGGAGTCTGAGCCCTGTAACCCTCTTCTCTTTCCTCAGGACAGGCAGAAGTTCCTAGTAAATTAAGCCAAAAAAGGTGGGCTGAGGCTGTTCTTTCCTACCCAGGACTGCCTGCTGATGGAGGCCTAGGAAACAATGCCTGAAAGCCCTACAGATGGGAAGAACTCCTGAGGCACATCTTCAAACACTCCTCCAGAATACAATTCAGTCTTCACCAGACCCTGCCTGAAGAGAAGTGCTGTTCTGGTTAACCTAGCATCTCGGGGCTCAAATACAAGGCCAGATCTGCCTACACCTGCCACCATCCCCAGCTGCCCAGGGCACTCCAGCCAATAGGATGGCTGATTCAGCCTGGAGCTAAGGGAGTTCCAGCCTCACATTGCAGGGCAACTCCAGCTCAGCCACAGCCACATCTTACAAGTAGATACCTTGTTTAATCAACTCTTGTCCCAGGAAAAATCTACCTTAACCCCGGGTCTCCATCACCCTGTCCTCCAACACTGACATTTTGTGACAGGAAAAGCATCCTCTGGTTAGGAATTTACTGAAGCCCTGGGGAGGGCTCTATTTTCTTTGTTATGCAAGGCAAAGCATATTCTGAGCCAGCCCTGGCTCCTCTTAAGCTCTTGTCACATGTTTTTCCTTGTCTTCTTCCCAGTTCTCCTTACTGCACACTGCTCTCCTGCACTCAGCAAAGCAAACCAATTCTAAAGCAACAAGCTGAGTGGGGCAAAGAGAATTGCAATGGCAGGTTCAGGGATCCATCCCCTCCGCCATGTGGGTGAGACACGTCCATGGCTTTTGCCGTGCTGACTAAGAGCAGCCTGCCATACTGTGAAATCCGGAGTGTAACAAAATTGATCCTAGGCTCTCCAGCTCTGTTCTTTACTAGCCATTTTCAGTAGTCAGTCAGGGTCTGTGGTTACAGGGGAAGAAAACTGCCAGGCCCCTGCCCAGTGTCTTTCTTGGCTTCCCACACTGACATACCTAGGATGTCCATTCTCCAAAACAGCACCTGAGACCTGGCCCTCCCTCAGATCCAAGGGGATCTTGAAGGCCACATCACCTTTTGGGAGAGAGGGCCCACTTCTCCATCTGATCATATCCACACTGCAGACAATAAATACCTTGTTTTAAAACATGTAGTGGCCCATCCTGGGAAGAGATCTCTTGACCCCCATCCGGCATGTCCAGGAATGCAAATTCTCTGTAGGCCAGGGGGTCCAAGTAGACAGAGTCAACTTTCCTCTCATGCTCAAAGCCACCATGTTTCCCTTGGAGAAGACAGAATTCTATAGTGGGGAGAAAAGCCCAAGCCAGACATGGGTCAGCATAGCTCATCCAACATCTCACACTCACCTCTCCATAGCTCAGGCTGTGCTAGAAGACACACAAAAAGGCCTTTGCTTTTTTGCATCTATTTTTTGAGACAGTCTGTTAGTTTGAATGAAAAATATCTCCCATAGGCTCATCATTTGAGTGTGTGGTCTCCAGTTGGTGGCATTGTTTGAGAGGTATAACCTTGCTGAAGGAAGTGTGTCACTTGGGGTGGGTTCTGAGAGTTATAGCCATCCAGTGTGACCTCCGCTTCCTGCCCCTGCTGACATGCCTCCCACTTTCTGACACGCCTCTGCCCCTCCACGATGACTCTTCTCTCCCTTGAACCAGAAGCCAAAGTAAACGATCTCTTCCCCGAGTTGCCTTTGGTCACAATGGTTTTTCTCAGCAACAGAAAAAATAACTAATAAAGAGGTTTGCTATGTAGCCCAGGATGACCTCTAACCCTAGATCCTCCTGCTTCAGCCTCCCAGGTGCTGGGATTACAGACATGTGCTACCCTGTCTGCTCACACTGTCTGACTTACATTCTCCACCCATGATTTCCCCAGTTCCTTCATGTTGTCTTACATGATAGAATTTTATTTGTTCAATGGCTAAGTAATACCCCTTTCTGTAAATGTGTCATGTTTACTTGATCTGTTCATCTGTCTTTGAGCTTGAAGGTTGGTTCTAAGTCAGACAATAACAGAGTATCACTGCTGAGGCTGTGGAGGTCTCGGTTTATTTGGTTGTTGCTGTTTTTAGATTATGTGTATGAGTGCTCGTCCTAAATGAATGTAAATGCACTGTTTGTGTGTCTGGAGGTCAGAGGGGAGGGCATCAGACCCTCTGGAATTAGTTAGGGATAGCTGTGATCCACCTTGTACAGGGTACCAGAAACCAAACCCAGGTGCCCTGGGAGAGCAGCAGTGCTTCTAACTGCTGAGCTGCAGCCCTTTTACTTCTCACTTCAAGGGCTCCCATCTTTACTTTCAACCCTAGCATTCATTTTTTAACCCACTAAAGGATGCTGCCCTCCCAGAAGGAAAGCAGAGCAGCCCTTCTCTGAGGCTGAGAAAGGGATCAGCCTGAGCAGACAGGGCGGGCGTACAGCCTCAGCTGGGTGGGAGAAAGTAGATTTGACTGTAGTTACCAGTACAGTGTAGATTCCAAAACAGCCTGTAAAGCTATTGAATGATCTTTTCAAAAGAAATGATAAATATGGGACAGCAAGGAGCATCAATGGGTAAAGCAAGCCTGGCAATCTGAGCTGTGTCCCCAAGACCCAAATGGTAGGAGGAGAAAGAAAACTGGCATAATACACAAACACAAATAAATAATTGTAGCCATTTACAAAGGTCTCAACTAAAACTAATATAGCCTAAGTGTAAACACACACACACCAAAAAATGCTAATTATGTGATGTACTGGCTGGGTAATTAGTGTGGTTGTGGTAAATCACAGTGAATGTAGTCTTAGATATTTACAGAGTTTACCAACTGAGCCTCAGGAAAGCAGGGGAAAGTAATACAGTGAGCCATCAGTCAAATCTGCCTGAGAGGCCCCTGAAGCATCCGAATCCCTGGACCACACAAGTACACACTGACACTACTTACCATACTCTCACACTGGGAGCAACCTGACCACCTTCAGGTGTGTTTGCGTGCAGACAGAAGGATGTGAGGTAAGCAGGAGAAAGGAGAGGAGGAAGAGAAGGGAGTGGGAGAAAAAGAAGAGAAGAAAGTATTGAGGGGGATCTGGGTGTGGTAGATAAGCCTGTGATCCCATTATTTGGAGGTGGAGGCTGGAGGATAAGGAGTTAGTTCAAGGCCATCCTCAGCAACATAGCCAGTGCAACGCCAGGCTGGGCTGCATAAGTCTACTTCAACTTTTAAATGCTGTGAACTAGTTGCAGCTGGGATGTAGCAGCCACCCCAGTGCTCTGAGCAGCCCAGGTTTCCCTTACCTAGCATTCTTGATCAGTTTCTTAAAATTGACACCTTCTCTAAATGTCACCTCAGACAAATCACTTCCACCCCACCCTCACCCCGGAAAAGCACAGGCTTCTTTTTGGCCTGATGAGCAAGCCAGTGGGGAGGCTCAGTGTTTTGTCCTCTTCAGACCCTCAAGCACATGCAGGTTGGGTGGCATTAGTGACCTGCTTCCCACCTCTGCGGCAGAACAGGCCAGCATGTCATGTGGTCTTTGTGAGAGTCAGCATGGTCTCACAGAGGCCGACACATGTCACCAAAGGTAAACAGGGGAGTGGCAGACAGACACGTGTAGTCTATTATCTGGGGCAAAGGTCACACCTGGTAAGAGTGCACAGTTACATCTGCCAGCCTCGGTGACTGTCACACCCAACTGCCAGCTGCTTTCTTTACCTCTACCCCCACCACACACACTCCCTAATGCCATTCTGAAAGCAAACCACAGAAAGTCTATTCATCTGGGACATTTCAGAAGAAACTTCCAGAAGATAACGTTTAATGGACAAAACAGTAATATCATTATCCTACCTAAAAAGATTAACAATATTTTGTAATGTTACATTTTCCTGTTCCCCAAAAAGCAGTCAGGTAATGTTCTCTCTGGGAAGAGGGAAGGAGCATGGTGGATTTCAGCCTTCCGAATGCTGGGACCCTGTAATACAGTTCCTATTGTTGTGGGGACCCCCCCCCCAACCATAACATTGTTTCCATTGCTATGTCAGAACACTTCCCAGGCCTCAGCTAGCTTAACTCCACCCAAGACCCATCAGGGACTGTCATTCCCCTTCTGAGCAGGCGGCCTGTGATGGTTTAATGAACACTTGGTCCTCAGGTGGTGGCACTGTTTGGGGATGTTTAAGAGCTGTGACCTTGTGAGAGGAAGTATGTCACTGGGAGTGGGATGAGAGAGTTTAAAGCCTCATACCACTTCAGCTCCCTCTGCTCTATGCTTACAATAAAGGACGTGAGCTCTCAACACCCTGCTCCCGCCATCCTGTCTGCTGCTTCCCCCCCCCCCCAACTCAATGGGCTTCCAGCCCTCTAGATTTGTAAGCCCAAACAAACTCTTCTATGAGTTGTCCAGTCATAGACAACAGAAAAGTAACTCCATGACCTGGGACACTCAAACAGCTTCACAGGGGGTCTGGCTGGCCACAGAGCCCATGTTCCTCCCACAGCCACGGGGACACCTGAGGAGAGGGAGGTACATGCCTGGCTTCCCTTAGCCAACTCCCCAGTGCCTCCCTGATCCTTTGACACTCGCATCTCTGCTACCTTCCTCTTTTTCTACCAGGGCATCTCTCTTAACGACTCACCGAACTGGCCATCCTGTTTCACATACAGCTCAATGATGCCACAGGCAATGGTGGTGGCAGCAGGGATCTCCAGCACCACATTGGTGTCCTTGATGACAGTTCCATCCTCCATTGCTGACACCTGTGGGCAAAGTATGTACCCCTTATATACTCAAGAAGTTCTCTTGGCTTCTTTCTGTTACCCCTATGCCCAACCTCCTAAGAATTCTAGGGAAACGGCCACAGAGCTAAGGAAAGAGGAGGAGACAGCTGGCACTGGTATCTGGTGGCATGGGTAAGATGGCAGAGCATGGGGTAGGAAGTCACACCACAGAACATGTTTTGACAACAACATACTTAGTATTATACCGTTGTGGTCCCACAATGTGGTGATTAATGGAACCAGAGGTTTCTCTCTCCTGGTGCACTCATGGTGCATCACTGCAGAAGGCATCACTCATGTCTATGGTGATACTAACAGGTCCCCTGGGCTCCTACAGTCACTATCAGCATGGAACACATGGTAATTATAAGTGACTATACTACTGGCTCATGTACAGTAGACTAGATCTTTAGCATTACATTTTACAGTATTGGAAGAGTATATTCCATAAAGGAAGGGAAGGAGGGAGGGAGGGAGGGAGGGAGGACGGAAGAAGACTATAAACTGTGTGCTGATTACGTTGGCTGTGGCCTTGTGCATCTCAAGTTCACTGTATCCCTCAGGTCCACAATGAAGCCCAGCAGACATCTAGGCCTGTGTAAGTTACTCCGTGGTGTGTGACATCACCAACAAAACTACCTGCTGATGTGTAAGTTGCAGCATAGCTACATCACATATGACTGCAGATAGATAAAATCAGTTTCCAGTTCCCTCTGAAGGCTTTGAGAAATAATTTTTGAAATCCCAGTGAAAACCCCAACAGGGTTAAAGCTAGGCTGGGACCGCTCACTGAGCGAGCTGTTCACACCCCTATGGATGATGCTCTGCACCAACAAAACTAGGATGGCAATGTGGTGATATTTTGTTTATGATCTAACAAAGTTTGCTTGAAGAGCAGAGTCCAAAGCCACACTCATTATTCATATAGGCCAGGCAGTAGTGGCACACACCTTTAATCCCAGCACTCGGGAGACAGAGGGAGACTGAACACTGAGTTCAAGGCCACATTAAGCTATACGAAATTGATTCAGTCTAAAAGAGAAACAGGGCTCCCACAAAGGTGATCTCAGGACGTGAGCTCCCATGCCTTTAATCCCAGCACTAGAGAGGGATGTAAGGTGGGAGGAGAAAGGAGCTCAGTGCAGTGTGAGGTTTGGTGGAGACAAATGCAGTCTGGAGATGCAGTGTGAGGACAGGATCACCCCTTTGGCCTAAGCATTGCTAGAGGAGAGAACTCTCTAGTGGCAGGCCGCTTTGCTTTTCTGATCTTCAGCTTTAACCCAAGTATGTGTCTCTGGGTTATTATTACTAAGAACAATTAGAATATATGCTACATGGCAAGGCAGTAGAGAGGCTGGAAGAGAAACAATGAGAAAGGAGGAAGCTGGAAGGGCAGGGCTGGGGTATGGGGCAGGAAAGAGCCCTTCCCACAGTACACCCAGGAACAGTAACCTGGAGATCTCTTTGCTGGCCAGACACTAGAGACAAACGGTCCAGCTTAATGATCTACCCCGGTACAGGATTTGCTTTGAATCAAGAAGCAACAGCAACGGCTGAGTTTCTGACTCCCAGAACCAGAACTTCAGTGGGTGGTGACCATGGGCAGAACTGGCAGCCAGACTAGCTGAAACCACCTCCATCAGCTCCTCCTTTCCCCTCTGTGGTCCAGCCACTCACCTGCCTACCCAGCAGCCCCAGATCCAGACTTACAACTTCTCCTCCCCAGACCCCTGCCAAACACAGCTTCCTGGGTCTTCTAAGAAAAGCCAGCAATACAATTCTAGACTTTGCCACCAGCTGAGGGAAAACAGCTCAGGGCTAATGAACCAGCTCCAGGGCCAGCATGGAATCTGAAAGAAGCCATAAACGACTGACAGACAGATCCTCTTGTTCCTGGCCCAGCTAGTGCCTGACTAAACAATTTCCTTGACAGAAGCACTCTACTTCCATAAGGGACAGTGCCTGGCCCAGGTCCAGTTAGCCACTAGAGCAGGGTTCTCAACTTTCCTAACGCTTGAAATACAGTTCCTCATGTTGTGGTGACCCCCAAATCATAGTTATTTTCCTTGCTATTTCATAACTGTAATTTTGCCACCGTTATGAATCCTAATGTAAATGTCTTTGTAGACAGAGGTTGGGGGGGGTTGCGAACCACAGGTTGAGAACCACTGCACTAGCGTATTCTTTTGCCACAGATTGAGAAATAGATACACCACATGTGGTCTGGCGAGATGCAGCCCTGGAACCCTCTTTCCCTGTACTGGCAAATCTGGAGAAGGCCTGGAGCCACCAGCTCCACTAGGAAAAGAACTCTGCTCTCTGGGAGGGAGAGTTGCTCACAACATCTTCATGTCCTGGGTCACACCGACACTGTGGCCAGATGCCTCAAAGAGCTTAGCTACATGAGCCAGGGAGGGCATGTTCACTACAGCCAATGACAGTGCCGTGTAGAAGGAGTTCTGACTGAGGAAGACACCAGAAAAGGTGGGGAAAGGTCTCCATGCTGGGGCCCGGCACCTGCACGATCTTGGTCTGGATCCCCACCATGCCTCCGCACTTCTCCTCCATCTGCACATGCTCAGATATCACACACTTCTGCGTGGTCACAATCTTCTGTGTCAGTACACACAGGACCTCATTCCTCCTCTCTAGTACCTGCTGGAGCACCGGGTTGTCCAGATTAACTGTTCTGAAAGAGAAAAGTGGTCATGAGTAACCCCATAGCTCCAGGGAGACTGAGGCAGGGACCAGAATCTCGCCTTGTGGCTGGAAGAGGGAACGAGGGACAGCAGGTTTCATTCACTTCCAGGTAATGAGAGAGGAGGCAGGTTCCCTAGAATGGCTTTAGCCAGAGTCTTCTGGGGCCACTCAGGCCAGCTGAGGGACAGGCTAGACACTGGAGGCAGTACTAAGGAATTACATACTCTAATAACAAAGCCCCGACAGCCATACTGGTTTCAGTGGAGAACAATGGAAAGCCATGCTAGAGGAAAGAAAGCACAAGGCCATTGTGATGAGAGGCATGGTGACATCTCAGCTGGAAGAGGTGGCGGTGAAAGTGCAGGCTGCGGTGGCAGATCAGACCGGAGCTGAGGAGGACTCAAAACCTCTTGGTAGGGTTTCTGTCACAGAGACTGGAAGCTCTTGGTATATGCTGCCCCAGGCTACCAGCATGGTTCCTCTCCCTGAGCCACTTAAAATTCTGTACAAGTTCAAGGCCAGGCTTCATTCCTACCTATGACTTGATGCTTAAAAGCCAATGATGAGATAAGGTCACCAGTGACCCCAGTTGACACCATAGCTGTGGAAGGGCAGGAAAAACACCAGGTCCCAAGTGTGCTGGACATGGGATGAAGAGGCTCATCCTAGGTATGAGGATATCTGTGGTTAGTCACCTGCAGGCTCAGCATCCCTCCCTGGGCACTAAGGGGCCACTGATCCATCCTAGGTACACTTTGAGCTCCCAGGTGTTTGGAAGTATCCCTGAAGTGGACAACCTAGCTGACCAGGGTAATAACCAGCCCGTGACCCACATAGGAGTAGACACACGAAGTGGCTTATCCACACCATGGAAATGGTCAGCCATGGGAAGGAGTCAGCTCCACACAGGCTACAATGGGAAGGAATGGAGCCCTCATGCTAAGCAACATCAGCCACCATAAAAGGACAAACAAAGGTCCCATGTCTAGAAAAGATCTAGAATAGTCAAATTCACAATGACAGTGAAGACTGGAGTACTGGGGCTGGAAGGTGAGGAAATCAGGAAAAACTAATTGTTTCATGCTATGAAATTCTGGTTTTGAGGTGGTGGAAAATTCCAGCAATGGATAGTGGTGGTGGCTACACAATAGAGAGAATGTACTTAGTGCCAATGAATTAAACACTTAATGATAGACATGCAAAGTTTATAGCTTTCCACAGTAAAAATAAAGACTTATAAAACACTAGTCAGTGGAATGTAAAAGTACTGCAATATACACGTAAGACAAAATAGGCTATTAATAACAAAACCAATGGCCAAGGCACTGGGGGACAACTCTACTGGCAAAGCATGAGCACCCATGTAAAATGCCAACAGTGGTGCACATCTGTAATCACAGCTCTGGGGAAACAGAGACAAGAGGAGCTCTGGAACTTGCTGGCTAACCAGTTTGGTCAAACCAGTGAGCTCCAGGTTCACTGAGAGACGGTCTCCAAAAATAACATGACGTGACTGAGGATGATGCCTGATGCCAACCTCTGGTCCCTACCCACATGAACACCCACATTGTATTTGTACCTGTGCACACACACATATGCATACATACATGAGTATACACATACCACATAGACAAAAGAGTAGGTTAATAAATGGATTAATTAATTGTCAGGCAGGGCCTCAATTCTAGGAAGAAATATGGACAGGGAGTTGGGTGCTGTCCTTCCCCTGGATGACCTGGAGTGAATTATGTCACTTTCATAGAGTGGCTTTTTCATGGATAGAAATTGATAATGCCCTCAGCACAGCTTGCTTACAGCAGGGTGTGCCATATACATATTCTGGCCAGCTTCACAGTGAGGGCACAGAAAACAGCCACTATCTGAGCAGTTCCTGGGAACTATGGGACATTTAACTGGGCCCACATAAAAATCATTTACCTGCTGCAAAGCCTCATGTGCTCACCCAGATTTTACAATGCCATGATCATGTCCCTGCCTCCTGTTCTGCCAACCTCATCTTTGAGCCTTACCTCTGGGCCATCAAGAGGCCAGGCAAATCCCCAGTCAAAGCCCTGGAGGCCATATCTCAGACACGTTTGCCACCTCCTCAGGTACTCAGGTCCATGCAATATGTGAGTGGCACTTCTGTCACAATGGTACAACTAAGATAGAGAGCACACACCCACACAACTCTTTCTCTAGCTCATTCGTGTCTTTGTTCATTGCCTGCATCTTCAGTCTAGAGTAGAAACTATATGGAGGTGGGAACCATGCCTACTGTGCTGTGCCTATCTCAGGGCAGGATCAGCACCCAGCACCCAGAACCCAGCACCTAGCACCCAGTACCCAGATTGGCCTCAGCAAACTTTCTGGGAATCAATGACTACATAAATTTTGTCTGTTTCTTCATTGTCTGGGGTGTGTGTGTGTGTATGTGTGTGTGTGTGTGTGTGTGTGTGTGTGTGTGTGTGTGTGAATCAGACAAGGGGATAGAGGGAGGGGGCATAGAGAGGAAAGGTGGAGAAGAAGGGAAAGGGAAGGAGGGGAGAGAGCCTTTGAAGATGGAGGAGGAGGAGGATTCTGATGTTTGGTTTAGTGAATGGTGAACAGGCGACTCTCCCCTTTTGCAGACACTGGGTGGGCAACATGAAATCTGGCCTCTTTGTGACCTGAATCAAGGGCTGGGAAAGGCATTTTAAAGTCCCTTCCCCGTTTGCAGGAAGAGCATGCCTTCTTTCCCAAGAGCTGAGAGAAGTTCAATGCCACGTCCACCCGGAAGATAATGAAGTTCGGGTTGCTTTAGGATCCAATCAAGGTCAACATTAGCAAAGCGGTACAAACTTACAGGAAGAAGTATGTCACCTACACTGACCAGGTGCATGGGCGGAAAAGTCAACAGCTTGCTGTCCCCATGGACATTCACTATCACTGGACAAAGGCCATGAAAAGATGCTTAAACAGAAAGCCATATTTTGAGCAGTGTGAAAGGAAGATGCAGAAATGAAATCAACTCATACAGCTTTCACTAAACTGAAAAGGAAAGGGCCGGAGAGATGCTCAGTACTTAAGAGCACTGGCGGCTCTTGCAGAGGACCTGGGTTCAGTTCCCAGCAGCAACCACATGGTAGCTCACAACCACCTGAAACTCCATGTCTGGAGAATTCAAAGGCCACTTCTGGCCTCTGGAGTCATCCATGCACGGTGTGTATAAACACACTGGCATGAACACAGACACATAAATTTAAAAGGAAACAATTTTCAAATATAAAAGGGAAACCACAAGGTAAGGCACTGGGGGCAGTGAAGGGCAACGGGGACCTAAATAGCACTGGGTGAACGTGCCAGTGTGGGGTAAGTGTAATCCCAGTACCCAGGAAAATGCTGTGGAAGGATTAAGTTCAAGGCCAGTCAGGGCTCACATTGCGTTCCTGGCCAGGCTTGGCTATAGATTAAGATAAGCAGAAGAAGGTTAAAGAGGAAGAGGAGAGAGAGGAGGATGGGGAAACAGAGGGAGGAGAAGGAGGGAGAGAGGAGAAGAGCGCAGTTTGCTACCTCATCCCTGGCTTCCTGACCTGAAGGGGAAGCAACAGTACCAGGCAAGGTTGAGTAACCACAGCCTCCATACTGCAATGGCCCCAGCTAGAGGATGCTAAAAGCTCCCTAAGCTCTTGGTATTTCACTAACTTTGTGTCCAGCATGAGGAGCTGGGATGTCTGAGTGAAGGAACCTACTGTGCGCTCCCACAACCTCCAGAACCTTGCAACTGGCATGCTACATCCTTTGACAGCTTCTAGGGCCAGTCTCCTAGAAGCTCAGGGCACGTACTGCAACAGGCATCAGACACTCACACCCTGCAGGTGACAGGACTGCAGGTGTCATAGCAACAAGCTGACATCCACTTCCAGTTTCTACACAGGAACTACACCCAGTGCCACATTGCACAATCTCAGGGCTGCATCCCCTGTCCACTGGGAACTGAGAAAAGTCCCAGCTGCTTCCCAGAGTTCCAAGAGCACCAGTGACCCTAAGTCCTGCCACACTACCTGGGCATACCTACACTTTCCTAGTGGGGACTGTGGAAGGTACTTGTCATGGGGCAGAACCTGCTGGTGGGAAAAAAAAAAAAAACAACTCTGGCATTAGCCAAGTTTGTCCCTGAGAATGTGGGAAAACCCATCTGTTTTCTGTATCTCCACAGCATCTACAGGTTCATTGAGCTGTGATCCACCAGAGTTTGCTCTTTGTGACCTAGGGACATGCTAAATAGCCTTCAAATGAGCTCCAGATACCAAAAGCCTGAGTTCCATGTCTGCTCGACCCAAGGATCCTAGGGAGGTCATACTATACCACTGGCTTACATGTTACCTGTGCATGGCCCAACCCAGGTAAGGACATCTCACTATAATCCCTGGGTTTCTGACAAAAAGAGCTGTTGTGGAATATTTGATTAACTATGCAAAGACATGTTACTGTTTTACAATTCCTGCTTAAGGCACCTGACTGGTCTAATAAAAAGCTGAATGGCCAATAGTGAGAGAGGAGGCAGAGGTGGGACTTCCAGGCAGGGGGAGTAAGTAGGAGGAGGAGTTTAGGCTCCAGAGATAAAAGTAAGAAAAGGAGACGCCATGGGCCAGACAGACAAGGAGGAGGCAGAGAAGCAGGACATATGGAATGAAAGGTAGGCAAAGAGCCCTGAGGCGAAACAGATGAATAGAAACAGGTTAAATTAAGTTAAAAGAGCTAGTGGGACAAGCCTAAGCAAAGGCCGAGCACTCATAATTAATAAGTCTCCATGTCTTTATTTAGGAGCTGGCTAGTGACCCAAAGAAAATTGCAACTACAGAGGACTGGGACAAGAGCCTCATCTGCCATTCCTAGGACCTGGAAAAATGCAATAGACCCTAAAATCCATGACTGTCACTACCAATGGCATGGTAGAATCACCAACTGCAATCACCCCTCTGGACCTTAGGAAGCCCCTCCCCCTCC